CCACACCAAAAAATGGGGGTTTTTTTTTCCCCGCCGGGTGGGGGGGGGGGCCCCCCCCCCCCCCCCCCCCCCTCCCCCTTGGTATAAGGAGGGAAGCTGCAGCATGTTTGGAGAGGAAAGAGAGGCAGGGGTTGAAGATGCAGCTGGTGGTTTAACCCACCTTAACTCACCTTGACACAATCCTCACTCACACACAACATATAATACAAGAGTAACACAAGAAAATGAGCACTTTTGATGACAAGAAGGCAAAAGTGAGCTTGCTGTTTACCAGCTTTTAGGCTACATTACTGTTCAGATTTCTACCATCTGTGTTCCTACCTGAATTCAGGAGATAGGTTGGGCTTCAGGCCATAGAAGGCAGCCGATAAGGTCAGAAGCCAACGGGGGACAAAATTCCCATTTTCACACTCCAGGTAGGGCGCAGACCATTTGACGTGCGTCTTGTCCGGGATGAAACTCTCCCCTCTTTTTAAAGAATTGTCAAGTGACCTGAAATCTTGGCTCAGCACCCTCTTATGGAAGCTGGGCTTCTTCCTGTCTTTGACACCGTGGTACCACTCCGTGTCTACCGTGCGGTTGTGCAGATGGCGGTGCGCCACGCCGGAGAGGTCTTGGAGGACTATCTCCCCACCGGCCCTGGTGGCTTGGAGGAGCACCGAGGGCCCCTCCGCGGACGAGTCCCCACCAAAAGTGACGACCGCCCGGTGGATCTTGGCGTCTCCCTCCAGCACGCTCCTGACTAAGGCATGGTACCACTCAATGTCTCGCCGCAGACTCTGCTCCCTGGACCTGTTGGCTTGCAGGATCATGTTGAGGAAGTTCGTGGCGTGCAGCACCGTGTCCAGCACGCTGCCCATGGAGTGATGCGGGGTGCCTCGTGACTTTCCGCGCAGAGAGGTGAGCTCGTACCTCCGCGAGCAGTTGGCGCTCTTCAAGGTGGTCGAGTCCCCCGTGTGGAGGAAAGCCGTGACCACCCGGGGGAGGTGCTCCTCCGCTTTCTTCGCGGTCTCCCCGGGAGGAGGATGCTGAGGCGCGCGGAGCTGCGCCAGCTGCCGACGGTGCGTCTGAACGCCGTAAATCGCCTCGCGCGCTCCGGCGTCTTCTCCCCCACGCGCTGACCATTCCGCGTATTCGTGGTTCGATCCGATCACAAATCCCACATGCAGCAGCAGCGACAGCCGGAAGACAGCCATCCTCCCTCCAGAAAAAAAGAAAGCGTCCGCAGATGTTCAGGGGGAGGGGACGGGGGGACGGGGGGGAGATTGCTGCTCGGAATTACGGTGTCGTTGGGCGGGCGTGCTGTAGAAGAAGAAAAAAAAAAACCTACCGAATTGCTCCGCTAAACCATCGCTTCACCACTTGTGGTGTTCTTGCAAGCTCCGCGCGTCGGATCTTGAAATCAGTAAAAGCAGATGAGGAGGAAGCGCGAGGAACCCCGTCGCTGTCCTCGCTCAATCCCGTCTTCTTCCTCACAGATGCCTCATACAGCTTGTTGATGTTGAGTATCCGCTTGCAGCTGTTTCCCCCCAGCCTCTCTCTCTCTCTCTCTCTCTCTCTCTCTCTCTCTCTCTCTCTCTCTCTCTCTCTCTCTCTCAGACTGTCTTGGCTTTGCTGTGCTGCGGACGTTCTCCCTCTGCGTGCAGGCTACACAGACTGAATCAAAACGAAGGAGGGGAGGGGTAAAGTGGGCAGGTTATTGTTATATTTATATATTTTTCTTAGGAGGCACCAAGTCAGGGAGCTTTCTCACTTGGAGGACAAACGCACTCCGCCCTCTTCCGACCACGGCAAGCATTAAGTGAGGCCTGCGTGTGCAAAAAAAAAAGCCACGGAGAGCCCGTCTTCCTCGTCATCTCATCGGGGCTCCATGTGGCCGCATGCTTCCGTCAATCACGGCGCGGTGTTCGGTTGGGTGGAGCGCGGGGAGGGAGCTGTCCCGGTGCTGAAATCAGATGAAATCAGCGTCGCGTTGATTCATCAGAATGAAGCGCTTGATTCAGAATCAATAGGTAGAGATTTTGTTCTCACTTTGGCATTCAGGAGTCGTTTGTTTACTGTTGAATAGTGTGAGAAAATAAAAGAGGATTAATTACAACCACTTTCATTTCTAGCTGTAAAACAATTTGAGAAATATATTTGAAAACCAAATTCACTGACAATAGTGTAGAGGAAAATATACCCATACCCATACTTGTTCAGGAAGAGAGACTTAATATAATGTAATTCAGATATGTGTGTTTACTTTATGTATTTTAACACCTTTGGGAGCCAATATTTGTAATAGGGGCCAATAGGCATTCAGAGGAAAATGCATGGCAGTACAGGTGACATCACCTTTTTTCCCATGATCACCCGCCCACTGCAAGCCAATGAGAAGAGCCCAAAATACAGGCGATGCCAAAATATCTTCCATGAAATGACTGTTCAAAATCTGGCAGAAAATAATGAGCTCTTGTAGGATGTCAGTACTCTAAAACATAAGTTTTTCGAGCCTTTGAAGGAACACTTCACCCTCAATATGACCATTGAGTTATATCAGTAATCCTTGATGAATAGATGGAGGCCAGGTTTAACAACAGCAAAACTTCCTCAAAACATCCGTTTAAACTCTCACATGACCCTCGCAGTACAATCCAAGTCTCGTTTATCCAGTCGTATGCTCACTACCTCCCAAACACATGAATTTTTTCGCCCAAATCGTACTCGCACTGTCTCGTATCGTGCATGCACAAAGCATGAGTCGGTGGTCATGGAGTTACTTGAATGGCCTGCACAGAGCCCCGACCTTTAACCTCATCCGACTCCCTGTGGGATGAACTGGAGCAACGTGGTCCAACTTCACTAACGCTCTCGAGGTTGAATGGAAGCAAATCCCTGCAGCCAGGGTCCAACATCGAAATGAGAAAAGCCTTACCAGAAAGAGTGGAGGCTGTTAAAGCAGCAGATTAATGCCCATTGATTTGAGACGAGATATTCAACCACATATCTCGTAATGGGCCACAAGTATGTGCAAGATCAGGTTTTAAAGATCTTTTTTTGACTTTGTCAAATACTGTAAATAGATTTCCTTTGGGCTTCTCCAAGTACAGCAAGCACACTATAACATAAAGACAATTTGCCTTTATTGTGATCCATATGGAACAACAGCAAAGATTACAGCTGCAGTGGTCAAACATTTTATTCAATTACTGTACAAAACCACAGGTTATTTTACTGCTCAGTTGTCACTTTAAACTAAAATATTCTGTCTTTTCTCCCAGGCTGGGCACATAAAACTTGCTCCACTAAAGGTTTCTTTTCCTGAAGCACTAAAGTTTTTTTATCGTCATTCAGCCAAAAGAATGGATGGATCATAAATGGAGGTCTTTTTACTGAAGAGTGCGTCCCGTATGTCTTTGTAGATAGGACATAAAACAAAAAAGTAGGAATTCAGTCATGACAACCTGGACATGTTTCTAATCAATAAACTCATTTATAGTCAATGCAAGCGGTTGCTCCTTCACGTGTTATCCAAGCACACTCCACTAAATCTATTTTACCACTTCGTCAATCTATCAGTCTCTCTCTTATTAGTCCAAGCTCCAAAGATGCTCTCTCCCCCTCTATCGCTCTCTCTCTCCCCCTCTCCCCCCTCTCTCTGTCTCCTGGGTGTAGGGGCATGTCACGTCACGCTGTGTGGGCTACAGGCATCTTGTCCTGGCAGCAGGGTGAGGCAGACAGGCGTGACGGAGGGTGACAGAGCTGAGAGTGGACCTGTGTGCTGTGTGGGCCACCGGGGGGGGGGGGACGCTGGAACCTCGAAGACGTCCTGGACTTCATGACCTGCCGACGTACGGCTGCATCCACAAGGATGCTTGCTTGTCCTTTCTTGAAATCTTGATATCTTGCAAGCAAACGGCCTGGAAATCCAGCAGCTGCCATCAATGCACCGCTGTACAGAACATAATTGGAATAGCTTGATGACACCTGCACAGCTGTTTTGGTCAGTATATCAAAATGGCTGCTGTATGTTCTCACTGTGGAAAAAATGTCTTTCTGCTTTCTCAAGTCCTTGCAGTAGTAGATGTGCATGTTAGAAACTCACATTCATATCTGTTGGATTGAGGTCTTTTAGCATCTGGGCTCATTAGTTAGATGGCAGCGTGGATTAAAGGTGTCAACGTCCCTGTTAAAGGGCCAGCGTGTTGGATTTGGCGGCAGATTGCAATCAACTGAAACTTCTCCCGTTTGCCCGCTCCTTGAAGCATTCTGGTGATTATACACTAAAGAAAACATGCCTATTAAGGTTATATTCTCGGGATGCTAATTTGGATTATTTTTTCTAACCGACAACTACAGCCCATGCTCACTTAAGGTGGGCTGACCTTTTAAGGTGGACTAGCCATTAAGGGACAAGCCTGAGTTTTGCTTTTTATATTTCTTTTAACTGTTAAACTGAGCGGAAACTGAAGCCTTAATCGGTCATCATTTGTTATTGTCTGTTAATTATTAACACCCCTATTATATTCCATTTCTGCAAATAGATCCCCTAAATGCTACACACTGGACATTTAACTTCCCAATATTTTTACATCACCCTCAACCCTTTCCTAAGGCTAACAGGATTATTTCTCGTCTTTCTCTTTCCATTTTGATGTTGGCGCTATCAAAGTGCTGCAGAGAAGGAAATGAAAGAAACACAAAACATCAGTCATGGTGATGATGACAGTGACGAAGGTGGACATGGCACCTCCTCTGGAGGTGTGAACCATCTGCATTCTTAATGTTAATGTGCTGCCAGTTGGAGACTTATGATATGTCATCAACACCAATTCCTGGAATTGAGAAATTGTGGTTCAGCTTAATTACGTGCAGTTTTGAATAATGTGACATTTAAAAAGTATGAGTACCTGATGGGAAAATCTGGATTTTTTTTTTTTATCTGCTCTACTTGACAGGTTTGTTACATCATCACTGTGACAGAGTTGAGTCCTAAAACACAGAAATGAGTGAGTGGGTTTGCACTTCCGGTCCCGTCATCTCAAAGTCAAAGTGTTTTTTGGTTGTATGTCTGAAATAAGGTCTGAGGTTGACACAAGGTTATGAGTTTTGATTGTTTTGTTCTATGATATAAAATACGTCAGTAAATACCCTTCTTGTGAATTTTGAAGCCTTTGAGTGTCTTTAAAAAGACGGTGGCTAACAATGTGTCTAAACGGCATCATGCCGACTAGTCCGCCTTCACAGCCTCGTTGCGTTTCATGCAACGGTGGTGCAGTTTGTTTACACGTTTATTTTCTACAATAATCCAAAATCCAATGAAAAATAATCCCATTTTGTCTTTTTGTGCAGGGAACCAGTGAGATGCTACATTCTTGTTGGCTTTAAATAATACGTCATCCCTGCATTTCTCTATATGTTGCAATGACACACTCAGATTTGTGGATGTTAAATGTCAAAAAGTGTAATTCACCTCTATTTTGTAACCCAAGTGTAATCCTTTGCTAATCGTATTTATAATAGCCGTGTCTGTCATCATTGTGTCGTTGAAGTGTTTCATTCCACCACCGTGAAGGATGCAAAAAACACCTGACAAAGATCGATTGTTCACGCTGCTGCCAGTGAAAGAAAAGCCGATGTGAAACAAAATGGAACCTTTTTATTCTGTTTGAGCAGCACATCAAGGTGCTCCACTGACTACACACGTTGATATATCTTGCCTAAGAGGCATTGAATTATAATCAATGCATTTATAAGAGTGACTGTGTGCTGTTGCAAGAAGTTGACAATCAAAACCAGCTGTTTAAATACAAAGTGTGCAAATAGGTCAGTATTTTCTTTAAAAACTACATGAAAAAGGGAACATTTTGCTTAAACAAATTATTTATATTTAGTTGATGATGACTTCCAAAGCAAATGTTTTGGAATAGATTTTATATTGTGGGCTCTGCATGTAAATGCACCTTCTTAACATGCCCACATACGATCAACGCTGTAACTGTGGTCATTTGCTGATCTGCCAACTCTTGTCTTTACCTTCGTCTTTACTTTTATCCGATCCGCATGTCAACTGTGTCAGAAATACTGGAATGAAAATGAGGCCGTGAAGCATCCCAATAAACATGACAAGAAAGAAGATCTTAAAAAATGTTCTGAATGTGTGAAATTGAGACGTGGCCAACACCGACACCCCTAAAATGGTGGACACGGCCCCTTGAAGTATGGGGTAGCCCAAACTGGAGAGGGCGTCCACGGCCTTGTCGTTGGGACTCGTCCTCTCGCTGGAGGCGAAGGCGTGAGACACGTGAGCTGAGAAATCCACGGTGAAGCCGATGCAGAGGGTGAAAACGATCATGGATATGGAATCGAGAGTGACGTCCCAAAGCGCCATGAAACCGGTGACGCCGGCGGTCACCGAGCCGATCGAACAAGTCAACCACAACGCGCAGAGCAGGTCTGGAATCAGCAGGAGAGAGACGACCAGCATCCCAGCTGTGATCACGAAAACGTTCTTAATCGTGGTGCTGACCACCACGTCGTACTGGTCGTAGAAGATGAATTTCTGGTTATAAACTGATAAAGATGCCGCGCGGCATCTTCCCGCGGTGGTTTTCAGACCTGTAAACATGTGAATTTCCATGCTGGAGTTGGCGATGTCGACGGTCTGAATGAAGAACCGGGATGCGCGGATGGCGTCCCCGGTGAGGTTCACGTCTTGCTGTAAAAAAGGAAATGAATCAAAAAAGCGAGATAGATTTTTGAGGAAAACGTCTTTATCGTCGAGGTTTAAATGTGTTTCCCGTCCGTATGACAAATAAGAGTCCAGCCAGGATGTAGAGATGTCCTCGTCTACAAACTGGAGCTTTTTAAAATCCTCGATGCATCCCTGAAGTTGGTGTCTCTTGGTTTTATCCCAATATGGGAACTCCTCATTCACAATAACCATCACAGATGGGCCGTAATCGGAAATATACTGCCTATCCTTCCTATTGAATCTGATAACGTGGGAGTTATCAGATGCCAGATCATAGAGCTCAATCCCCTGTTGAACGTGCAAACATCCATAAATACTTGCAGCTAAATATACCACGTAAAGGAAGATTACAACCGCCTTGACACAGGGTTTTATCAAAAACGGGCCGTAGTAATCCTTAAAGAAATTACTCGCCGGTGTTTTTTTCTCCGCTCCGGTGTTCTTATCGTAGTCGCCTCCCACACAGCAGATGTTATACACCGCAGAATAATCATCACTGTGGTCTGATGATACTTTCTTGCAGGTCAGCCAATGCCTGTTGCTGGCTTCTCGCCTCCCGTTCAGAGCCAGGAAGGCACCGAACAAGGTGATGGTGTAGATGAAGCAGAACACGATGGAGACGCTGGCGTACAGGCTGAACGCCTGCACCGACGGGAAATCGGACGCGACGCCTACGGAGAACTTGAAGACGTCGGTCAGGGCCGTGATGGTGATGGACATGACTGCTTCTTTGTAAGAGTGAGCCATCCGCTTCGGCACCGGGTCTTTCACGTTGGTGTGCTGCCAGTCGGACACCATTACGAACATGTTGTTGAGACCGATTCCTGGAGGAAACAAAATACAGTAGAGATGTAAAGTTAATGACAGTTTTGAGGTACATTTGTGAGACTTTAAACATTTTACAGGATTTTACTGTAAAACATAAAATGCTCGTAAAACATGATGAACCGCTATTGTCTTATAGTCCTTAAAATATATGAACCGGCTAAAATACTGCTCAATTCAATGCTCCGCAAAACACCACAGAGATATCTTTTTCATTGTCACTTTTATGTCAATGCAGTGTATTTCTTGATGGATGTTGCATTCCAAACTACACCCCAAAACTACAGTCTGGAGCAACAACAACAACAAAAAAGACAAGGGTGCTTTTTCTCACCAAGTATGAGGAAAGGAGAGTTGGCGACTGTGATAACAAACGGCACTCCGATGTAAAGCAGCAAACCAAAAGAGGAGAGAACAGCCAGGCCCGTGGAGAGGACGCCGAAGACGGCCACCCACACCTTGTTCCTCACATTGTCCAATCTGTCAAGGAGGTAGAGACAGGGAAGTGTTGGTGTCACATTCACAATCATGCAGCTAACAAAGTACAAATATCATCCCTTTAATCCCACACTTGATCTTAGATTAACCTGCGCAGCCTCACAATAATCCTGCTGATTGTTGGATACTTGTAACAAAGGCATCACACGTGCATGTTTTTTTAGCAACGAGTACTAAAATGTACAAATTTAGTGGAAAATGTACAGTAAAATTTAAAATGAGGCTTTGACAAATGACTTACTTATGTTACACTGCCCTATCTGGTTGAAATGTTTATGTACATTTGACCACACCCAACAGTGATGTCACTATGTACTGCCACACCCTGGAGTACGCTTGTATTTAATTGCTGCAAGATGAGCAGTGAAACTCGTGAAGGTCAGCAAAAAAAGAAGAAAACAAGACTTTCAGCCGCTGTTAAAGAGACCCTGTGGAGTTTCTGACCACTACATGGTGCAATGTTTTATGTGTGAGTCCCGGTTTTGTTTGTTCTCATGCACACGTTACACAAGTGGCAGCAATGCGGCAAAGTGGAGGGAAGAAGAAGACTGCTAGCTAGCAAACATGGACGTAAACAACGCAGGGGTCAAACTTTCAAGAACAATCTGCTGTTCAAACATGTTATGAGGAAGGAAAGACACGCAATACATTTTTCAGACCTCGAGGATACACACAATACATTTCGGCAATTAGCTTTGAACGTAAACACAAACTCCACCGGCGCCTTTAAGTTGCTCTTTAAAGCAGGACTTTTGCTTGCTAAGTAGCAGATACTAAATACAGGGTCGTGGTAAATCATCAAACCTGCAGAAGCACAAGGAGACGAGTCATGAAGTCAACAAACTGGATCACTGGTGTCTTGCGTTGTTTGGCTAACGGGAGCCAGATAAGCAGGGAGACTCACTATGAGCTACTGCTCATACCAGACAAAGTAGAGATATAGCAGCAGAACTTCTGAGTGTGTTGAATTAAGAAAGGGTGGATCTGTTTGTTTGTTTATTAGTATAATATCTCATTTGCAAGAGGCTGAATGTGCTAATCCCTCTTTCAAAAGTTATATAGTCTCACTTTAACATTTTTGATTTTAAGCAATAAAATCTTCTGGGAAAAACTCAACAAACTTGTGTACAATAAAATAATAGAAAGACCTGTAATAAAATTTAATTGTGTATTAAAACTCCCTACAACATGTTAAGCGTCATGTTCAGTGATTGTTTAACTCTGTATTGTTTTGATCCTGTGTAATTTAAATTAGCAGGTTACTCCTGTACAGACAAACATGAAATACCTGATAGAAACTACACCTCACAGAAACTAAACGGACTAAAAACTTTAAATCCACATCTAAAATAACTAGAAACTCAAATGTAAACTAAATTTGAAATAACAATGAAACATCTTTAAATTGCGATAGCTCTGCTTTGGACACATTAATGCTGACATTGTTTCAACATCGACATGTGAGCTGCGTGTGTTTTTCCTGAATCAGTCGCTTTGATAAACATCTCTCTGCCTCTCAGGAAGTCGCTCACTGTGTGACGGTCGCTGATCACTTCTTACCTCAGGCAGGATATCACAGAGAAGGTGATAGCACAGGCATAAGTGATGAGGAATAAAGGGAAGCCATCTGTGGTGTGACTGTCAATCTCCTCCTGCTTGGATTTGGATGTGTAGTAAGACACCTATAGAGTACAGCAGGAAGACGGCAACGAGCAGTCAGAAAACAGTGTTTTACACACAGATGTCACTACATGACAGGGCAGGATTTCAGGACAAAGGAAGCAGTGTGTGTGTCTGAAACTTTGCCAGAGACATTATCGGAAGATGTGAAGACACAGTTGGAGCAGAAAGGCTGTAACTAATCTGTTTAGATAAACGCCTGTTTGCTTATTTTATTGCACATTAACAGATTAACTTCACAGTGCAACGGCATGTTCAGCTAGGAGACAAAATCCACCTTCGGTTTGTTGCTGCATTGCATTGTGGTCTAGTGAGGTTAAAAACTGGTATTCTTTCACTTATGATCTAGTCAGATATTTCAAATACAATAGAAAAATGAACCAATTCATAAAAGAACTGGTGATCTTATTCTCACTGAAAAGCTGAAACATGCTCTATTGGCACGCTGTCGAAGCCTCGTGGGAGCTGTAGTTGTTCAGAGCAAAATAAATAATCATTGTTCCATCCTAGTTAAAACAAAGAAACACAACACAGCATCAAATATTGAAGAGTGTGTGAGAAGAAGCAGTGGTGCGATACGTACGTCGATGTGTTTGCCATCAGTCTCCTCTGATAACAGTCTTTTAAATGCTCCCAGCCATGCTTTCGAGGCGTCAGCTGTGTTTGCCTTGTTATCTAAGTGGTACAAGAGTTTTACGGCCTGAGCGCTCGTGACTGAGCCGTTGGCTTCTGCGATAACTCCGCCGAGCACCGAGCCCAGGAACACCGAGCCGGACCCGTGCGTTTGTACTGGGAAGGTGATGGTGCTTTGATCAGTCTCACTGGAGCCGATCACTTCCAGGAGGACGTTCGAGACACATTCTCCTCTGGCTTTTGCACACAGCTCACTGAATCCCACGCTCCCGTTGAGCACGGTGATATTAAGGATCCTGTTGTTGAGTCTGACGATGTCCTCAAAGGCAGGATTTGCCAGTATGTTCGAGCTACTGGTGGATACGGCGATGAGGGAGGCGAAGCTCCCCTTGTCGTACAGCCGGTCCTCTGAAAACATGGAGTCATTGTCGGGGAAGTGTTCCCTGAGAAAGGCCCTCGTTGCCTTTGAGGGTCCTTTCCTGGGCGTAAACTGACGCTCAAAGTCATTGTCCTCCCTGTCTTTGAGGAAAGTGAAGCCTCCGCCGAGCACCACTGAGAGTATGAGAGGAATGACCAAAAAATACAAAGGGCAGGAGCCCACAAGGGACCCAAATCTTTCAAAAAGGCCCGACAGAGGCTTCGCCACGCAGTCGGTTCGTCTGCATGTTCGTCCCATCTTCAGACTCGCAGGACAGTTAGCTCAGATGTGGAGGAATTACTGTATTTCCTTTTTAAAGTCAGTCTTTACACACCCTTATTTGGAGGGTTGGAGGCAGTCTCTTTGGCCAATAAAGGCACAGTCATCACTTTTAAACCGGAAAGGAAAAACAGTACTGGGAAGTGTTTGGTGTTACTGGTAATCTCATGCTTCTCTGTGGCCGTAAAGCAATACGCGAGGAACGAGATATCACTACAAACTCTACTTCAAACAAAGAAATGATAAGAGTTCCCAGTAAACCAACGTCACTTACAGAATATCAGTACCAAGCATGTATCGTAAAGTAATAAAATGGGGCATGTATTCACAGGCGTGCCACAGCTTTAGAAACTAAATAACTAAATCAGAGAGTATTTTGGCCTTTGATTTGTGTTACAGATGAAAACAACACAACTATGCGTTAACACAAATACATGGTAGTAAAGGTTTTGATAATCTTGTTTCCCGTGTTGGGGATTAAAAGGGATCTTAAATGGCAGCAAGTGAGAGACAGTAAATTGAACTTTAAACAAAGTTCTCCACGAGAGATTGGTGAAGGAATGAGTCAGCATTTATGCACGTCTCGTCTCAAAGTCTGTTGGTTTTATGAATGGGTTTTAGTTAGGTCCCTGAAGTAAGGGTCTGTGGTTAACAAAAGCTGAAGAGATTGTTTTTGTTTTACGACATAAAATACATTTGCTGGACCTTCTCCTATCACTTTTATACTCCTCAGTTATCTCCCTCAGTGTCCTTATGTCCCCTTTGTTCTCGTCCCTGTCTTACTTTGTGTCATTTCTTAGCTCGTATATATATTTATGTACTTGTCTGCACATGTTGTACTCACTTTTCTACACAATAAAAAGATTAAAAATTAAATACGTCAGTAAATGTCCCTTTTATGTGTCTTAAATGAGGCGGTTGCCATCTTGCTGAACAAAAAGTATCAGAGCTTATTTTCTGCAATATTCCCAAAATGGAAAGAAATAAGATCCCCATTGTTTTTGTGTGGAGTGTGATGCTATCTTCCTGTTGTCCTACAGAAATATGTCATCCCTGCAGCACTCTATAAGGGGCTTAGCAGACAGACAATTACAGGAATATCTTGGGACTCCAGGAACATCCAGCCTACATGTGGTCGCCCTAAACCTCAACACCTGGTCCGAGAGGGGTCACTTTCACACCTCCGAGCCAGTCGGCCTCTCCTAGTTAACCCGTCAGTCAGCCGTCAATCCGAGCCCCGCCGACTCCTCCGAGACTAACGCTCACATCTCATTTCACACAGATCCATCTCGGGGGGTCATTGATTTCTCATTCTCAGAGTGAGAAATGGATTCTCAGACGGTCGCCAGGAGCCCGACGGAGGCATCTGTTAAGTGTAATCTCTTCCAGGACCCTTCAGTTGTTTTGTTCACCTCCAATTGAATCACTTGCTTTTTTGTTGTTGTCCGCGTGCTCGTCAAAGCCTGTTAACACCAGATAGGTGCCTGCCGGCAGGTGCTGTGGTTGCCTTGAGTTTTGCATCAAAATGCAAATAAGTTCAATCCAATAACAATCATCTTCTGGTTGGCGAGCTCCCGTTGACGCCTTCATTAGCTCTCTTTTCTCTCCTCCTCTTCCTCACAGAGGTGCAAATCAATGTCTGGGCTAATTAGCAGGGAAGCCTCGGGTGAACACGACGTTAAGATGTGTTAGCTGATTGTTTGGCTCCGGCTTCCAGAAAGAAACCACTGATCACGGAGGAAAACATTGGGGCTTTCTACAGACCTGTCTACCCTTTACACGTATTTGCCAAGCATTGTTGTCCTTACTCTCAGCTGTCATTTCTATTTCTTTATAGGTACATCAAGAGAGATGCAAAAAAAGAAAATCCTTGTATGTGTGCACACATACGGTACGTACTTGTCCAATAAAGGTGATTCTGATTAAACTTGCTCGTAAACAAATATACCAAAGTGTAGATTGAGGATATCAGGATGCAGAGCAACTAATAAAATCATTAAAACTTCAGAAGCTGTTTCCTCTAAATGTCTGATCTTATCTAACAACATCAATGCAATGTCTGGAGTAACACTGTATATTTTAATAATAAGAATAATACAATTAAACAAACGATAAGTTATAATATCCTATACCATCAGCTACAACTCTAACTACTCATTTGTTAATTAGTTTTGGTAATAAACATACATAACACATTAAGTACAAATACAAGTAAATCAATTTCAGCTGAGCATTACACTGGTGTATTTCGCCCCACATACAGTGCACAGTGTGTTTGTATGTTTAATTAATCCTTTTATTATGACTTTAAATAAGATTACACGTGAGCTGGACCGGGACGTGATCCCTCACTGGCTTCCCACTCCAACACTCACGATTGTGTCTGTCGAAGCACGTTGGCAAAGGCAGCCGCGCCGCTGCCAAGAATCTAACTCAGGTCTTTGCAGTGGTGGGCGAGTGTTTTACCTCCACTTCAGAACCAACGTTTGGTGCCAGTGTTTCGCGCCAACATTTATAAATGTGACGATTTTTGGTGCCAAGGCAGACAAAGATTCTTAGTTCCCCCTGTGGGTTTTGTTCTTGGCAGGAGGGGAAAAGCCTCTGAAATAGAATGTATTCAAACCATCATGGGACAGAACAACTCCACTGAAACCAACGCAAATGACTGTTTAAGGACACTTTGAACCAATTCACTTTCTCAATGGGGACATTTACAAAAGTCACCTACAAAAAAACTTATTGTGCAATTAAAAAAGTTCAAAGTTTTTGTATGAAGACATGACATAAACCCACTTTATCACTGAACTGTCAATGAATGCATTCTGTGAGCTGGACAGAAGAGACTCGTGCACCATGGATGTATAAGAAGAACGGCACCGCCGCTGAGCCCAGATTACAACTCTTACCCGGTGGCCACTCACAGTATTGCATCTGAATAATCCCCCTTTGGCTCAAAAAGCATTTTCCACAAAGACCACCAATGTAAAGGAGACGTCTGTAAAACTGTTGACAAATGAACTCAAGCTGCAAATAATGTCAACTTATGATTCTTCCCATTATGAATTTTTGATCCATGGAGGTTTTATATTCGTAAAACTTTAGATATTAAAATCTGTGACGTCATCACACGGGAACTCGTTGGCGAGCAAGTTTTCTTTACTTGATTGCTTTAAGTTAATTTGAGATAGCCCTGCTGTTGTAGTTGTATTTCATTTAGTTTGTAATTTTATGATATCACTGTTTTTTTTAATAAATCTGTATTTGATTATGATCTTGCTCAATTTGAGGCAAAGTATATTTGTAATTTGAGACATGTAAGGAGGCCTTGTTTGCGTGTACTTATTTTTCTCAAATTTCCAGTTCTTACAATAATATAATAATGCATGGTTCCTGAAAGAAGTTGGTGTACCTATATTTTGATAGACTATATGTTTTATTATATAATTAATAAATTAAAGTAGGCAGAAACAACTATTTCACGTTTTCCTTTCCACAGTGAAACCCTGTAAAGACCACAGTGATGCCATGTGCCAAATACTGTTCATAAACATCTCAGGTCCACCACATTGTGGATTGCAACAAACAGAAATACACCGAAGGATCTCGGGAGCAGAAGCTCAAATCAACCCGTTGGTTTCCTCCTCCCTCCTTTCTGTCTCCCTCCGCTGTGAGAGAGCAGCTTCCATTATTCCACAGGTTCACATTAAGGAGATGGGAACAGGCTGCTACCTGCAATTATCCTTGCTCACCCAGCCGTGGGCCACTAGGTGCTGAGCAACAGCTGGCTCTCTTTCCCTTCACCACTCGCACACACACACACATGCACCGACACACTACCCTCCTCCCCCCTTTCAGACACTTTACCCACCCATTCCTCACACTCACCTGCCAGGCAGCTTGATTAATAAGGCCAAAGCTCCTAGCGAAGCAAACCACAGACACAGAGGGGAGGAAGGCAGAAGAACAAGCACCGCGTCGGTGCAATCGAAGCCTCCAGTATGTGTGAGCATGTGCTGTGTAATATATTCATGCATATGGGAAGAAAGAAAGGCGATCTGTCATCGAGGAAGCACGGAAACTTGAGTACAGTCGAAGGGGCGATTGTAGAAATGCTGCACTGATTGAAAACAAGAAGTTGTAATTAATCTGGATGTCCCTCCGCACCTTTCTCCTCCTCTCTATCTGTTTGCTGCGAGCCCGATAGCAGCAGAGCTCAGGTCTGTCAGGAGCAATGGATCACTTCAGAGACTGTTGCTCTCTCTCATCTTCGCACTAACAGCGACAGGCTGCTGTGGGTGTTGCACTCATTGTGTCTCACACACATTTTTCTCCTGTTGTTGATACTTTGATCGTCCAAGGTGAAGAAATAAAGCAAAGACTAATACTCCTGTTGTGTTTGCTATCTCTCGATGTTAATGCAGAAACTGTTGACTCCTTTCCGATGAAATTTTATTAATTTTCTGTCTGTAACAAGAAATAAAAGTAAGGGGGAGATGTATGAAATGTGGGGAGGGCTGTGGGGTATTTTGCTGATATGCGATGGAAGATGGTAAAAGATATTTACAGTGAGTGACTGTAATTTGCATAACATTATGGGTAGAGTATAGACATATATCATTTACTAAATAGACCACTCTCTGGTTTTTGGAAACCCCGAGCACACAAAGGTGTCAGAGCTGATAACTTAGGGAAAGTATTTTAACTTGAGATCCAGCATTGGACGAGGTTGTTGGCTTTTAAATGATGTATAATTTAATTCATCCATGCTCATGAAATAGAAATTTGTTCCATAATAAAGTGCAGGTTTATGCTCCCCGGAGGGTTGACGCAGTCAGCACGGGAATAAAAAGGCAGAAAATCTAATAATGAAACCAATAAAATAGAGAGGTAGATTAAAAAACAGTAAAATAATTAAAAGACAATAACATATTAAATAGATAATAGAGAGTAATACAGAAACGGCTACAATGACCCAAGAAAAAAGTAAAAGTCTTCGAATGAACCTAATTTTGTGTCGTAGAAATAGGTTTATATCCCGTTAAGTCTCGCCTCACTAAGACTGACTTTGCGACCTCTTTTGTTTTAAACAATAGATTTTCTCCAACTTGATGGCAACAGACCAAGAGGCTCCAACCACAGAGCTCAGCTCTGCCAGCCAATGGGAAGAGAGTAGCAGGGTCTCCGTATGTGAGGTGTCTCCATTCCTTTTCTCCCACAAAACCATGAAAGCAGATACGCTTTTAAAACTACTTTCAGAAAACTTGTTCCTCTCAGTTCTGGCAAAGACTCCGAGAGACAGAGATCCAGATCAGAGGGCATGTCGGCAAAGTGCTTCGTCAAATCTGGCCCGACTTTCCATCCATTTCAACAACTGCAGCCATAAGCAATCCTGGAGGTCTATGAAGAGGTATCTTCCTCCCCGCTGCTGAGGCAGCACCTGGGCTTAAAGGAGTCGACTGATGGCCACAGAGACGGGAGTCCTCTCTCGTCGGACGGTGGAAAATAACCCTCGGGCCCACTCGGTTCTGTTTACAGGACGCGTCTTCTGACAGATGTCTGGCAAATAAGAGCAAAATGTGTTTTTTTGTTGGATCCCAAGAGCTTATAGAAAGCTTGTATCATATTACCAATCTCCATATATTCACCCCAAATACACTAAAGTCACAAGCTGTTACGTGGGTGGCAAGAAGTCTTGTTTTTCTAAGAAAAGAAAAGTTTAACATCAATACATTTTAATAAATCAAGTATACAATCTATAATACAACACAAAATTAAACATCATTTCTGCCTCAGGTAAATATATATATCTTGTTGAGAGGAAACATGAGCAGAAAATTGAGCCACTTCCTCTTGTCAAGCATAATTCCCCAAATTGTCAAGCTGCTCATTTTAAATCGTGTTATTCCCAAGATCACTAAATCTGCTTTAACCGTCTTATTAAAGAATGTGTTCCTGAATGTTAGCCGCTGATGAGCTCATGAAAGAGAAAAGGAAGCAGTGCGGTTCAAAAGGTTTTTCTTTTTAATGAAATAATAACCAGTTTTCTACCTTCAGTCGGGTAGTCAGAGGACTCTGATTGGACGAGTGTACCAGATGCTCCAGCTTCTCCTGGCAATTAATGGACTGTGCCGATCAGTTCATTACCCGCGTTTTAATGCCGCTGCGAGATCTGACACGCAAGCTTTCACAGCCCGTCGTCTGTGCTCACGTCAGCGGGGAAAAGTTTGAGTAATGAGAAAGAGGACGAGGTAAATAAAGCGTTTGTTATATAATCATTGAACATCGATCAAACACACGGCAAATATGTACAACCACAGCACGATGTATGAGCATACAATCATCTTTAAGAAGGGTTTCACTCTGACTGCTGGTATTGATTTGTCATTTACTAGTTTGTTTGGCCTTCTGACTTGGTCATTAATTAACCCCCCCCCCAACAGTAATACACATTTACTGCACTGCCTGCACCAGTGTGTCTACACAGCAGTGGCCAAGAGGTAGACATCCCCATCTAGTGGGCCAGGGCTCTGGGTAATGATGTAAGAAATGTTGCATAATCAATAGAAATTAAATTGAGTTTAGAGCTCGATTACAGTACGTGTGGTTGTTGTTTTTCATTAATCCTGCAGACTGGGTTTAAATGATGTGTTTTAAATTAATCGTATGACCGTTATTGCTTAAAACTTTAATATCTTGCATTTTGTTTAAGATTTGTTCTGTTACTTCTTGAATTAGCTTTTAAAAAAGTGACAGATTCATTGGAAGAATGAGGAACATGATACAAAGAGGACAGAGTCCTACATGACCTTTAAGAAGGAGTCCTGTATCATGCTCTCCACCTCTTCAACCAACGCGCCGTAATCTGCCTGACAAACGGTGTGTGCCCTCCCGCCTCTCTCCTCCAGGCATTTCATCACGCCTCTGTGCACTTCAGGTGCGGTCGCGGTCGATCCGAGCCGCCTCAGCTGCTCGACGGGATCCTCCGGAATATTTTGGATTTGTAACGCTTTGAACACGGCCGGAGCGAATTTCCCGTAGTGAGCGGTGGAGCAGAGCACCACGGGGCACGAGCCGTCCTGCAGCCTGTCGGCCACGACTTTAGCGACGGCGGTGTGCGTGTCCATGAGGTAGCCCGTCTGTGCGTGGACGCTCTGGATGGCGGCCAAGCAGTCGCCTTCAGAACACCAGCCAGCCGCCACCTCCCGCTGCATCCTGCCAAGAAGGGGCTCGGCAACCTGAAAGTGCTGCTGCCGGTCCAAGCGAGCGAACAGCTCCCTGACGAGACGGCCGTCTCTGTCCGAGGCGTGGTGGATAAACCTCTCGAGGTTGGAGGATTTCAGGATATCTATAGCCGGGGAGTGGGAGGGCATCAGAGGCCTCCCCCGGAGGTCGTACTCGCCCGTGGCGAGGAAGTCGGCGACGACGCGGTTGTGGTTGGACGCGCAGATGACTTTTCGTATCGGGACGCCCATCTGCTTGGCGTACAGAGCGGACATAGCGTTGCCAAAGTTACCGGAAGGGATGCAAACATCGATGGGCTCCCCGAACTTGATGACGCCGTCTCTGCACAGATCCAGATAGGCTGAGGAATGGTACACCACCTGCAGGAGGAGGAAACGTCAAGAAAACTGTGTGACTCTGTATGTTGCTTGTATGATCCCTCCTCGGTCATCAACCCACCTGTGGCAGCAGCCGCGCCCAGTTGATGGAGTTGGCGGTGCTGAGGACCGTGCTGTACTCCACGGCGAGGTGCCCGGTCAGCCCCGACTCTCCGAACATCCTCTTTATGCTTCTCTGGCAGAAGTCAAAGTCTGACAGCACGCTGACGGCCTGGGCGTTGCCCTCCCTGTAGCTCGTCATCTGGAGCTTCTGAGTCTCGCTCACGCCTTCCTCTGGGAAGAACACCAGCACCCCGGTCCGGTGAACGTCGGTGCCACCGAGGCTGCCGAAGCCGCTGAGCACCGCGCCTCCCGTGTCCCCGGAGGTGGCCACCAGCACGAGGTAGTTGCACATCTGCGGGAGGCAGTGGGCGAAGAGCTGGGGCATCAGCTGCAAGGCGAGGTCTTTGAATGAGGCGGTGGGGCCGTGGAAAAGCTCCTGGACGTACTGATTGCGGACGAGGTGTTTCACCGGTGCCACAGCCTCGCTAGAGAAGTTGGACCCGTATGCCTTGAAGATCATCGTTCTCAGGTGCAGAGCAGAGACGTCCAGCGGGTGTATGCACTGTTCCAGTAGCATCAATGCTCGTTCTGGGTATGACATGTCGACCAGTCTCAGCCATTCACCAGCGTCCATGTTTGGGAAGCCGCTTCTGGGAACATAGAGGCCTCCATCTGTGGCGAGACCCTCAATTACCACGTCGCTAAAGTGTGTCTCCTGATTGGACGACGCCGCGCCGTCGCTCCTGGTTGACACGAAGGTTTCTGCAGCGCGGTTGCGATACCTCTCGACGGCCTTCAGCACCTTCTCCGCCACCTCCTCCACCGTGACCCCTCTGCCGCACAGCACCCGCACATCGAGCCATCTCTCGTAAAACTGTTTCCTGTAGCGCAGGATGTCCCTCATGGACGCCCCCGCCTCCTGGCCCACGATCCGGTTCACCTTCATCCTGGCGAGCCGCTGCATGACGTCCTCGCCGTCCACGTCCAGGTAGACGACTAGTCCGGACTCTTTGAGGCGCCGCATTGCCGCGGCGTGGAGAGGGTTAGAGCCCGTGAGGGAAACGACACACCCAGAGGCCGAGAAGTTACACAGAGCCTGGCCCTCTTCCTCCAGGAAACGCTCTCCGCCGACCGCCGCCAGCTTGGCGGCCACGGGCATCTTCCATATCGTCTCCAAGATGTCGTCATCGACGTCAACGGCGGGCAGTCCCAGTCTGTGGGCCACTATCCTCCCCACTGTGGTCTTCCCTGCACCAGGAGCGCCCATGAGCAGGATGTTCTGGTCCCCCGGCGGGGGGGCTTTGGTAGAAAGCCATGATTTTGATGCTGAAAGGGGACTCAGGGAGCACCTGACAGCTCTCAGTGCAGTCAGCAAACCCATTGAGGGGACAACAAATGACACCAGCCTTTACTCCTGTTAACAAAAGCGACATTTAAAAGACAGTTACTTTAAAAAACAATCGGTATTATGTAGACTACCACCCTCGTGTTTTGAAGTTGTGCAAGTGCTGCGATACCTTTGCACGTGTTTTGCAGCCAGGACAGTAGTGACCTGTCATAGTATTATAATGAGCAAGACACTCACGTGTAACGATGTGTTCCGTACTTGTTGGCGATTCTTGTAGTTAGTTAAATATTTCGTGTTGTAACTGAGAACAAGCACCATTCTGAACCACACACGTGAAACTACTGTGTGCACAAACATCTACGGTCAGCCTGGAGGGACAAAATTGATTCAGCTTCAATGAGAAGTCGAAGGCGCACCAGTTTCCCGTTGCAAAAACAATTTTTTTAATAAAACGTTTTATGTTCTATGCAATCTAACCACGGGATTACAATCATTACAATCAAATCATTTCCAAGAACCCAGTATCTACTCGTACGAGTGATCTTTGTGCTGCATTCAAATGCTCCTCGGAACGTTGTGCTTCAGTGAGCAGAAATCTGAAAAGTACGAGTGAAAATAGAAATGTTACGCTCATTCTTCATCGTCCACGACATCCAAACAGAGACAGATAAATAGCTAAATAGATCCTGACACATCTGCTTCTGACGACAGCTGATTATCTGTAGAAATGATGCAACACAGAGCTATGTGTGCAGTAGCAAAACGAGAAGAATAATTGTATTTAGTTGTGTAATTTAAATTTAAAAAAAGAGTTTTAGATAAGGACTGAGTGCTCTAAACCAAGACACATTACTTGTGTTTGTACTTCACATCTGGACCGCTCAGACACCTTAAATATTTCGCTTTACAACTGTCCTAAAATGCAACATTTGATACGACAGTTGCCTAGAAACTAGCCCTGTGTTGTTAAACAAACCCCACGATTTACCCGTGTTAGCTGATGGTAGCTCGGTCAAGTGAACAATCTAATTGAACTTAATTTCAGTGTCTTTTTAATCCTGAAAGTCCTTCAAGATGTTTGGAGTTGTGAATCCACCAGAGAGCGTTTACAGTCGGCTTACAAAGGAAGAGGTTCATGCTCAAAAACCGCAAAGGTAAGCAATACGTGTCCAAGGTTTTGCATAAAACAATAATAAGACATAGAAAGCAAAGTATCACCTCAAGTTGGGTTTAGCTTTGGAATTTGGCCCCAAATTGTATACCACAACAAAAAGTAGATAAGCAGTAGTGTAACATTTGGGGTAGAGTTGGGCTTCCTCTAAATTGTGTGCACATTTTATTGATTTTGGCATGTAAATAAAGCAAAGTAAGTAATAAAATGAATTGATGGGTGTGTAATTAATAATACAAGGGTATAGTAAACATAAGAGATTATTTTGGTATGATTTGGCACTGGATAAATACAATTTAACTGAGATTATAAAATGATTTCTTCAATGTCCTGCTTCTGAAGGTATATGTCCAAGTACAGGCCGACAGTTGTTCTTGAGGAAAAGTCAACCAAGCGTCCAATGAGGACGATGGGACCAGCGAAGGTAGAGGTGCCCTCCCCAGAGAACTTCCTCAAGAAGCATTCAAAAGAGCCCAAAGTACCCGAAAGTGAGTTCTCCTGTAGATATCTGAGCAATGCGTGGGTACGTCTTTGAGCAGTGATTCTGTTATTTAACTTCATATTCATGTGCACTTTCAGAAGCACAGCGTTCCAAAGAACACACCTGCACCGTGAAGAAAGCAGGCGTTCCTGCGCAGACGGACAGACCACTTATGGGCATTCACACCAAGAGAGACTTTGTACAGACAGCTGCAGCGGTGACAATGAAGCCCCAGCTTACCAGTGTGGACACCCGGCATGGACACAGGCAGCTCCTTGAGACATCAGGACTCGTCCCCAAATACATCAAGAAGAAGGTTTTTCTTTCGCCATCACACAAGAAAGAATCAAGAAAGACATCTTGCATGCTTACGTCAGATACATTTAGATAAACAACGAATATTACATGACAATAGTCCTGTTGTTATTGATTACATCATCCATCTGTGGGACTTGATTTAATGTTTCATTTGGTCCACTACATATTGTAAGTGTCCAGTTCCTATTCGCAGCATTACGGAGAAGTACCCGAGTACCTGCAGCAGCGCAAGGAAGACGAGCGGAGAGCTCAGGAGGAGTATGACGACTTTGTGAAAGAACAGAGGGAGAGGGGAGCCATGAAGCGCCTGTCTGACCAGGAGCGACAAGCCACGATCGAGGTACTCCAACACGTCGGAATAAAAATCAGAAACGGTTTAGTGTGATCGCACATGCAAGGAATCTGACTTGGTGGCTTAATAATACACACAATACAATACAATAGTATCAAGACATAGACAAAATGAGAAAATGGGAAAATGCTTTTTTCCTGACAGTGACATTACCAAGCTGATTATATTGTACTAGCGATGGGTGTCCCTATGTGGGTTCATGCTGCAGGGTCTGAAGAAGACTTGGGATGAGCTGCACCGCGAGTACCAGGGCCTCTCCTTCGTCACAGACAACCTGCGCAAGAAGTCCCACAGGGATCAGCTGGAAGTGGCGATGAAGAAGCTGGAGAACGACATGGACCTCTTCAAGAGGTTCAAGACCATCTACATACCCAATAACTGAGACATAAAAACACTGGATTCCATCAGATGTGCTGTGCTGTGCGTCTTGAGACCCCCAAACAAATGTCACATGAGCTTGAGTAAAATAGAATGCTGAATTCGTATGTTCTCTTTGTCATATGAACAATGGAACAAAGATACAACTTTGTTAGATTATTCAGAATTAAAATGGTAGTCTGGCCAGCGGTTGAGATATTTCACAGTGGACTATTGCCATTCTTAAGTATACAGTATTGTAGTGTTACACTCTTTCTAATTTTAAAGGAACAATTGTAATGTAACGCCTCTGTATGTCTCAGAGATAATACATTTAAAATGTCAGATAATCAAAAACAAGTGTGTCTTTATCCCTTTCTTTCTTTTCACCGATCTGCCTTCTCAATGGAATTTCTTGGAGAACAAAATAAGAAATACTTAAAGAGTGTCCTTTTAAAATAAATGTAATTCTGACTGAATAAAATGTACTGCATTGAAAGTGAGCCAAGCATTTGTTGTCAAACTTTTTTGACTATTTATTTTAAATCCTCTTGCCCTGGCCATGATGCAGCCACAAGCCAGCGTGGCATCACATGCAGCTGATTATCCCTGTAATTGTCCACGACTAAAACAACGCCGTCCTTTTACGCAAATGACTTGAGCGTGATCCCACAGGACCATGTGGTCTCTCTACACTCTCTCTCTTTGTGTCCCGTCCTGAATCTCTACGCCGGTGAACACACCAACAAATGGACAACGCCGAGATGAAAAGAGGAATCGTGGTATGTTTGTTTTTATCAACAGAGAATGATTGGGGGGTTTTCTGTGTGTAATTATTTGCTCAGCTGTTGTAAAAAGATAACGTGTTTGTTTCTCTGAATGAATTCCTTGAAGTCATTTTTTGATAAATTCAACAGCAGCTTTTAAAGAACCTTCAAGCTTGTTATTTAATCTAAACCTAGAGCAATATAATGAGGCTTAAGTCAGTGTAATCATAATAATAGTTTGTTGTTTGAGCTGAAAGGTTACAGATGCTATGGGCCAACAATCCTTGTGTTTAACTCATATACTTTCTATTCAATCTTTATTTCTTTGACAATTTAACGATAAACAAATCTATTAACTTTTTTTTTGGGGGGGTCTGCACGTTTCATTAGCTGCTGCTGTGGCTACTTCCAAACTCAATGATACTGTTGTCATATTATCCTTGCTGTAATTACTTAAAAAAAAAGTGAAACTACAATACCAAGCTGCTTTGAATTTTAGTTTTCCAGGTTTTAAAATGCCTCCACATGACTTCCTACAGCAAAAATAATAACAGTAACCGTCACGATTACATGTTTCTTACACCTTTGAAATCCACCGGCCTCTCTGGAGCTTGAACAGGTCTCTGTTTTTATTTGACTGCTCCCTCTCACATATTGCACGACTGAGCGGTTTAAACACCCACAGCTATGTACTAACAGTCGGCTGTCTGTCCCAGATAAAAGACGACTGGCCAGGCTACAGTCTGGAGCTGTTCACTTACCCTGAACACTACCATGAAGACATAGAGAGTGTTTACATACCACATGGGGTTATCATGGACAGGTAAAGAACAACAACACATGAACACACCTGTAAGGTGACTCTTTAAAATCATTTCCTGGTCATTTGTGTTTGTCTTCATGTGTTTTTTTTTTCCTGCAGGGTAGAGCGTCTGGCCCGCTACGTCATGGATGACTTCGGGGACAACTTCATGGTGCTGTGCGTCTTGAAGGGGGGCTACAAGTTCTGCTCAGACCTGGTGGAGTTCATCAAGGTTCTCGGCCGCAACTCCAACAAGTACCTGGAGACCCGGGTGGAGTTCATCCGTCTGAAGAGCTACCTGGTAACTGCACCGTGTAGTAAAACACGACTACACACTATACAGCAGGCTTTGAATTATGCTCCTTTTTTCTGTATTTTTATTATTTTTTTTATTTCTGGGAGGTTGTTTCAGATTGATTCTTATGTAAAAATATTAAATTTAGCCGTTTTTATTCCTATGTAACAATGAGGTTTTGCTGAAATGATTAGTTGATTATTTGGTTCGCCAATCCACTGAAATTTCATTGCCAAAATCAATAATTTTGAGAATTTTTTAATTGCCAAAGTTCTTTTTTGATTGTTTCCAGCTTCTGAAGAGTGAGGGTTTCCTCCTATTCTAAGTTGATTAGCTTTGGACTATGAGGCATAAAACAAGCAATTTGAGGACATAAAATTAGGCTTTTGGAATTTATGACTCATTATTCCTGCACATTTTATAAAGAAAATTGACGACAGATTTATCAAAAATAACCCTGTAACAGTCCCAACATCCACCCACCACCAATGACACGTTTTCCATTTGAAACATCCCAAATGTTGCGGCTGACTTTCGGCTCAGCCACCAGATGTCCCTGTTGTGCATGTTTAGTGAGGAAAGAGCCCGTTCAGACAGGACACCTCAAGGACGATTGATTGTGGAGCAGCTGCAGAGCTCAGGTCACTGAACACACCAACACTGCTAAGTGGTGCTGTCACCTCTACCAAGAGAAACAGCTTATGACACTGTCTAACACCTGGAATGTATGAAGCGAGTACCGTAATGTTTACAATGATGTCGCTTTGCTCCACAGTCACTTATTATGCTTCAGTGTGTTTTGGCACAGAGGACATCCAAAGTGATGTGATTTACATTTCTCTGCACGAGGTCGCATTCCTTCTCTCCCTTTAGAGCACAAGGGAGGATCCACTGTTTCTGAGGAATTGGCTTTCATGGAGGTTTAAGTAGCTATAAGGACATTTGATTTAATTATGGATGTATTTTTTTTTGTCTTGCTTGGACATTTAAACCACACTGAGTTCATTATAATGTCACAAGCTTTCTTAAAGGCAACAGATGGAAGATGTTTACCACCAAATACGACAAAATATACCTGCAGCCTGCAGGGAGTTGACAGGGCTTCATAACAGCAAGTAACAATTAATTCATTTAAATGATTTATCCCTGTAAAGACGGTTGTATGCAGCAGTTTGGAAGAAGAAATAGGAAAATCACAAAACATTAAAGGCTATAAGTTTAAAAATGATATGTGGAATAATAAATACATGAATAAATAATTGAAAATATCAAAAAGAAACAAGCAAAAAAGCATAAAAGCAATCTTAAACCTTCATAATAACATGTTGTTGTCAACAACAGCAGCAGCCGCTCGTGGCCAGTGTCTGAGCGATGGCACCGTGAGTCAATCTCACAGCTCATGCTGGAATCATGTGACCCGCTCCCCCCCAGGGTCCGGATTTTGTCCATGTCGCTGCTCCTCTTATCCGAGTGATGCATCTGTAGCCGACCAAATCTAACTTCAAAGCCGCTGTCCTTCAAAGCTTCTGCTTTCTGCGTGCTTCCCACAGGAACGGAGAGAGAGAGTCTGGCTTTGTTTATGTTGAGGATGATATTTTACACTCACTGTCCTTCTGCAGTCAATCTGCTTTTGTGCATTTGTCTCGCATTTGAACTGCAGACAGATAAAACGTACAGTTTGCTGTCTCTCAGTCTGACGGGACGTTTGTTGTCATTTATGGTGGCTGAAAAGAGAAAATCTTGATTTCATATTATTGACAAAAGCTGCATACATTATTTTTAGTTATCGCATAACACAAATCTTTCCATTTTTGTCTTCCTCTCACCCAGAACGACCAATCAACAGAGGAGCTGCACATCATAGGAAGCAGAGATCTGTCTTTCCTGCGTGGAAAGGTGTGTGTAAACACATTTCCCGCCTACCTTATAGAGATAATGTGGTCAATGGGGCAGTATTCTTTGTCAGCATTTTGATTTATTGTAAGAGAACTGAGAGACTACTTTGTGGTAAAATCTAATATTTCATTCTTGATTAATATGTGACCCTGTTTCAAATATGTTTTATTGCCCCAAAACATGCCCTTGGACCAGACCGAACCCCTTAACTTCAACTTTTATTGCTTTCTCCTCACAACCGTCCTCTATATGTGCGCACCTCGTGAGTGTCACTTTGTTAGAGTGGTTTGCCCTCCACCATTCTGGCCATGAATCAGGCGTTTCAGGAAAACGAAAAGTTCCCACCACAAGGCAGATTTACTGAGTGAGCTCTGGCCCGGAGGACCGAGGAGTCTGTACGGATTAATCCCTCCTCACTGCATTATTCTCTCAGATAGGCATAAGACATAAGGTTTGTTTACACAGCTGAGTGGGTGCTCGAATATGCTCACGAGCGTTTGCATAAAAAAAGACTGATGTCTGAATTCTTCACTGAGGTGTCAGCATGTGTTTCACTGTGGGTAAAAAGGTCAATGGGAGTAAAAACAGAGTGACCACCGCCATGCACTGAAAACATGAATCACTCCACTTTGTCTGCGTAACTAAAGTCGTCTCCTGTTACAACCCTTCACCTCGATGGAAACACTGAACACAGAGTCACAGTTCCATGTAGGTTATGAGTGTGGTGCTACTGACACTGCTCCTTTTTCCACCTATTAATCTGCTCCGTGATCATGGCGACGTAATGACAGCGTGGACAAAAGTAAATGTTGTGTTGAGGAGGGGGGTGGCAGTCTCTCCGGTTTCAGTGAGTTGAAGCCCGGCCAGCAGCCCGGTTGAAAAGCTTCTCATACGATCGTTGCTCACAGTGAATTTATAGCACTCTGATCATCCAAAGCGTTATTATGGTAATCTGAGTAGTTAGGTTTGCATGTAGCACAGCGTTATTGCTGCTTAAAATTCATGTTACCCATATTTTTCAACTTTTAAATTTTCCCTGAAATGTACATATTTCATTAAAAACTGTTTTTAGCCGTGCTAAAAACAGTTCGAAAACTGTTACCTAAACCCGAGACGAAGTAAATAAATCTCGTTTTTTTGCCAGGATTCTCAGGATTGAGATAAAGAAATCCCGTAAAGCCCGTGATCCAGGGATCCTAGGAGAACTATAAATCCCCAAACAATGATGCTTTACACAGTCAAATAACTTTCAATGCACAGTTCTGGCTGTAGACTATGTTTACAGTCTGCAGCACAACAGGTTATGTTTGAGCCTTCTTGTTTTTTACACGTTGGGTTGTGTAACAGCGTTCAGGTGTAGACCGAGAGAATATTGGCCGGGCGCCTGCATTCTCTCCAACCACTCTCCCTAAACCATAGATACTCTCCACTGGTCTCACAAAGAGCCCCATACACCCGGCCCAGGGAACAAGGAGTCATTTGAAACCCTGCAGCAAGGGAAAGTGTGCACCACCCGGACACTTAGAAGTGACTTCTTGCTCACTATAGACACAGATGTTCATTACTGGCGAGGAGAGAACGAGTTGTTCTGTGTTTTTGTTAAGGCGCCGAAGATGCTGCCAACGTTGTTGCTATCGATACCATCTGTAAGAAACGCACATTTCACAGAAACAATCCAGCTTTTAGTCCTTGAACTGTGTTCAAATTCAAAAGGGGATGTTTTACTAATGTTTTTCTTTATTTCCACATGTTACCAAGAGTGTGCTCATTGTTGAGGTGAGTGTCTCTACAAAAACACAAGAAGTCTTTGAGATCATGTTTCATTTGTGAAAGATTTAAAGAGGAGGCATTTTGAAATCATGTCACTTTCTGATTCAACAATTTTGCACATAATGTGTTAAATATGCACTGCATGTACTCACGAGTTCTTTGTGAATGTTAATAGAGTTAATCTATAAAAACCGTGAAGTTTTTCCTCCTATAATCTGCTTATTTCTCTGCCATGTTCCTCCTCTTTCAAAGCATTCCGCACTCAACATGTCTCCATCCCTCCCTTATCCCTTTGCTCTTCCCTTCCCTAAGGCCATAGTTGACACAGGAAAGACCATGAAGGCCCTTCTGCAGCATGTGGAGACCTTTGAGCCCAAGTTGGTCAAGGTCGCAGGGTGAGGCAGTGTTTCGGTCATCTGTGTTTTCCCCACCAGGGGAAATGCCAAGCGAGTGACGAACTGAAGGAGATATCACTTGTCCACAGCCGCTATCTCGTGTCCTTGTGGCGCTCCTATGCAGATAAACATCTTTCCTGGCACATGTTGAAGGTTTTTCCTTCCTTTACTGTATGTGTGTGACGCTTTTTAAGTGTTAGCATGTTGCATTAATGTAAGTTCTTACTTTGGTATTTCTTACAGTGACATAATACTTTTAAATACTAGAGATAAGGTCATGGTTAGTTACTGCAGTTCTGCACTGTTGCATTTTGGAAATTAACTCTATATTTCATGTGTTTCAGTTTGCTGGTGAAGAGGCTCCCTAACATGGCTGAAAACCTGACAGACTGTAGGTACACCTGGTTTTAATGAAATCTATTCCTCTCTCATCATAACATTTGTATGGGCTCAATCATCTTTCATTGTCCTACTTCTGGTATGTTTGCCAGACTGCTGCAGTGAATCAGGTGCATGTTTTCCCAGCGTTTCTCAATGTTAAAGTGTGCTTCTGCTCTCTGAAACGTGTTCATCATTTCTGATCTGTAAATCCTGAGATACATGACTGAAAGCAAAAAAAAGTGTTCATCCGCCAGTCTAGTCTTGTGCATTTTGTCGAGGACGGTCAAGAACCAACAGCTGAGGGTTAACATGCTACGTAGCTACAAAAAGTATGAGCTCTCTCTCTATTGAACTCCATTGGGAAAATACCAATTTTCTGGGATGTCCCGGTAAATTAATGGTTATGGGACATATAATAGTATATAACCACAATGTCCCTAATTCGATCTCAGCTGGGGAGCTTTGTTAAATGTAATTTTGATCATAAATGTATGTTTTTACGTCATTTTACCTCAAATAAATGTCATAATTTCCACACATCGTGCTACTCGTTCATGTCTGTGTTTGCTCTGACAGATGTTGGATTTGAAATCCCCAACCACTTCGTTGTCGGCTATGCCTTGGACTACAATGAATACTTCCGCGACCTGAATGTAAGTCACTGCACATGACCTTTTGAAGAGCTAAGAGAAAGAGATGAAAGAGGCCGAGGGAGTGGAGGGGGGTAAACACAGCAAATCAAAGAGTTGAAACCTAAACTCACCCAACAGGTATACTCCGTGCCTAGGAGACTTTCCACCGAGGCTAAGCAGCTCAAATCCATTATTTCTGTGGATGGTTTCTGCTTAGCAACACCATCAAGTTTAATTCGTCAAATTCGTCCTTTGGTTTCATAATGTTGTTTTTTTTTCAAATTTTCTATAGATATAGTGATGATATTATTATTGTGAATTATTTTTGTCCACCATATATTGTGATATTGTGACAGCTCCAGCTGTACTTTGTGTTTAGCAAATGTTAGCATGCTAGCACACTAAACTAAGATGCTGAACATTAGCTGCTAAGCATTAGCACTTTAGCTTCGTCATTGCGAGCATGTCGCCATGCCGGCGTTAGCATTTAGCTAGAATTTGAGACATCATGATCACCTAATGTGGTAAAAGTAAAACGACTAACAGTGCTTAAGACGGACTCTCACCATTTCCTTTTCCTTTATCCGTCATGCAAAGAAATCCAGCCCCCCTTTTCCTCTGAAAAGTTTGTGTGGCATTCCTGCCTCTGTCTTTTCTCCTCTGCCCATTCCCCTGGTGCCTTAAACCCATCTTACACCTCTACCCGCTTTGAGTCAGGCATGCAAACAATCCTCTGTTTTCTTTGTTGCACCCATGACACGTTATTTCATGCCAGATTTTCTCAGCCTGAAAGTAGTAAGTGCAAACTTATGTGAATTTTGTCATTTTTATATCTGTAAACACTTGTGGCCTCAAATTTACCTCTGACTCATGTGCAACACTAAGCCAAGACCGACTCCCATAGCTTTGTGTGTGAGTGTGTGTGTGTGTGTGTGTGTGTGTGTGCACATGGGCGTGTGTGTGCTGCATGTAATGTATGTACTGTACGATTGTGTGTGAGTGTGTTTTGTGCATATTTGAGGAGGTTGGTATTCATTACGAAAGTTTGAAAGGGGGTGGCCTGTGGAATGTGGGGGTTAGGCTCTCATTATCAGGCAGAGTTAAAGCTTCCCCTCTTATCTGTCCTCGTCCTACAGAAGAAATATGAGTTGAACCCCTGGGACGCCCAAAGTTAGATTAATGAGTGTGTCATATATTTGATTACCTTTCCCTGCGTTTGCAGGCTTCATCTTTTCGTACCGTATATATATAGCATATCGAGAACATACTGGAATCCCCCATAGGGCAGGGTGATCTTAAAGAAATATTTTCCTGTCATCAGATGCAAGGTTTTGGACAAGATTGAAACATTCTCAAGTGTAATGTAACATTGAAATTACACACGCTGATTTGTCTTCCTCTTTCAGCATATCTGTGTTATCAGCGAGACTGGGAAGATGAAGTACAAGGTTTAAGAAGCAACGCACAGTTTTACATTTGCGGCACGAAACCGTCAGCGATAATTAAAGGCTCATTTTTGTTTTTCCATTTCTGTAACAGCCGGTCATTGCACTACTTTGTTTAAATATGCCACTGTTTATTATCATTCCAATGTAAATTAAAATTGTAAGTGATTTAAATTGAAAGAACATCCTTCTTCTCAAAGCACGCAATCATAACTGTTGAGAAGGCCTTTAAACAACGTTTTTTAAATAAACAAAAAAAAAGTGATGTAGTTGTTGCCTCATCCTCAATTTTTTTGTAATTTGTTGCGATTCACGTGGGAACAAAGCAATGGATGAATAAAATAAAAGAGAAATGCTGGCGACCAGGAGAGGACTGTTGGTGACAGATGGAGAGAGCTTATGGACGTTGGCATCCCCGTGCCCGGATGACGCCCACTCTGACTCATGGAAAACACACAGTGGGTGCAGCAGACCGAACAGCGTCTCCTCACCACACTGTATCTGTTTGTTCCCAACTTTAACCAGGCCTTACTGGAGACCACAACCAAACACATTAGAATTCGGCAAAACTGACATGTCTGTTGATTATGAACTACTTTTACATCAAACCTCACAGACGTTCAAAGAGCAGTCAGCCATTAAAACAGGCATCTTTGGGTAAATTGTATGTTTTATTTATTCTAATTGGGCTGACCGACCCTCCACAAGTCGCTACTGCTCCGGTGAGTACAAACGGAATGGAAACAAAACTTTTTGAATGTCATATTTACTTAAAACCCATTAGTTCTTTCATTAAAGAATTCCTGAATTACAATTCCTAATAAAAAATCTCTCCTTTTCAGTGATCACAAGATTCGTTGTGCTGCAATTACACTCTGAGCCCTTGATCTCTGGGGGGGAAAATGCTCACAGTAAAGGCTAGATATCATTATTAATACACACACACACACACACACACAAGTATTTTGTATGTTCTCTTGCCATCTTTGGGGCGACTAAGAGAGTCAATTGTGCGTGTCGACAAACAGACCAGAACACGCTTCACCTCCCGCAGCGTGCACTCGGGGAGTGTTATCACGTGGCTACGCACTCTTGATTCTTAATCACCTGAAACTCCAAACAGCCGTCGCATCGAGCAACAGGAACACATGCACACACACACACACACACACACACACACACAGACAGGTATTATTCTAACAGTGTAAAGTTTTGATGGGAGACGACATCCCAACTGAAAGATGGTGCACAAATCAGTCTCTTATCCCCAAGACCCCTCCCTGCTCTCCCTGTGCAGACCTTGGTGGTCTAAGAAAAATAAATGAACATTTTTATTGACATTCTTATGGTTGTTGCAGTAATTTTTGTTAATGCAAACTGTGTGTTTTCCCCACGTTTTCTAAACATGTTTCTAAGCCAAAGGTAATGGTCCAGCTCCGGCTACAAGGCCTCTCCAAGTTAAATGGCCTGACAAACGACTCGCTATTTGGAGGATATGAGTGACTGCAAACACAAGAGAGTTCTGGGAGGTTCGGAGCACTCAGATTCCACATTGTGCTTTCAAAATGTTCTCAGGTTTCTCGTCTGTGGTCGTAAACAACACTTTCTCTAATACACTTAGAGGAACCCTAAATTCATGTCAGGTTTTATTACTTGTCCTTGACCCCTTAACATACAGAGGAGCGAGATAAGCAAGCCAGAAGAAACTCCACAAATTACACAACTTTTTGGTCGGGTGCTATCCGTGCAGCCTCAGCCACAAAGACGTCCATTGTGCCTCCTGGCTGCAGCCCTGTGTATCCTTATCATAAAACATCAGCACTTGGCGGTGGTGGTTAACTTAATCCCAGCGCTGATGCCCCCCACACTGCCCTGGGAACCCAGAGGCCATTGTTTCCACCTTGATGCAGGGTTTTGGTGAAAGCGAGATGGGACAAAAAGCCTGGCAGGTTTCACATGCTGCGGCTTTGTAGTGCTCCGTCAGGGGAACCGAGGACGGGGCCGACCGCAGAAAGTAGGCTACAGGTAGACTGCGCTCAGCACAAAAGGAACAAAAACAGGAATTGTACATTTGAATGGCAACACATTCATGCGTTTGACATATGAAGCCTGTGGTTAGAGACAGAGCTAAGGGGTTTGATTTCACATCACCAGCACATCAGATAGACCACGTTCACTCCAGAAACCTCATTTTATTGTTCTGCTGTTAAACAAATAGTTTTAACTTTTTGGAAAGACGCAATTTGCTTTTTTTTTGCCAAGAGTTAGCTGAAAAGATGGCTAGCTTATCTTAGCATAAAGACAGGCCCCTTGTTTCCAGTCTTTATGCTAGGCTAAGCTAACCATCGTCTGGCTGTAGCTTTCAAGGAATTGTTTGACGTATTTGGGAAATACACTGATTTGCTCTCTTGCTGAGAGTTAAAGTTAGATGAGAAGATTGATAAGGCAAATATGGAGCCAGCAGCCGATTAGCTTAGCTTCACACAAAGAGTGGAAACAGGGGGAAATAGCTCGCCCGGCTCCATCCAAAGGTAACAAAATCATGCCAGACTATTTCTTGGCCGGTGTAGTAAATTCCTGGAGTACTACACTTTGGTTTTAGAAGTACTGGCAGATTTTATTTTTTTACTATGGACAGACCCAAGCTAACTGTTTCCCTCTGCTTTCAGTCTTTGTGCTAGGCTACGCTAACCGTGTCTTAGCTGTTGGCTTCGTATTAAACGGATAAACATGAGACTAATCATCTAACTCTCAGCAAGAAAACAAATACGCATATTTCCCAATTATTTCTTTAGATATTAGACCTCTTCAGTGTCAGAGCTCCATCATTTACACATTTTTATGTGCGCTTCTGCTGCATTTGTGATATAAATATGAACCAGCCCTTCAATTAAAATCTACATTTATTTGAGCAGATTTGAGCTAGCAGATGCCAAACAATTACATTCCCAGTTTGGAACTTAATAAATGCTGTTTGACTGACGCATCTCGGTACACAAATAGAAAGAACATCCTCTGCAGTGTTCATTGTGTTCCAATTAGGGACTGGCTGGCTAGAGGGCTTGATAGATTGACTGCTGCTGGGTTTCATCCAGTCATCACACTCAGTGCCAGATCCCCTTATACAACCTGGAGCTGGGAGGGAACCTCATCAACTCTCAACTATAGTTTAAAGAATCCTTTACGATTGAAATATGTTTTGTCTCGCATGTTTTGCATGAAGGAGTGTTTAAAACCTGTGTAACGCACCAGGCACGCTGAGCTGCAGAGTCATTTCCACCTGTCCTAATCCTAACGCCGCTGGGTTTTGAACTTGGGCTTCATGTGATGTCCTAATCCAGCCAAACATTTTGCTTCCACGATAGAGATCGTAATCGCTCTTCTGCAGGACATTTGAGTCACTCTGGCTCTGCAACACATTTGGTATAAAGGAATTAGCAATGAATACAAACAATTATTATTGATTATTAGAAACATCTGGATGGAAAACAGTGAAATGGAGTTACAAGCATGCTCCAGAAAGACATTACACAAGGTGACACACCAGAACGTTTAACTATACATGCATTTGGTCATTAGATTACAACTCCTCTGTGAGCTTTGTTCACCGCTCATTGATCCGCATCTCCTCACTTTGCCATTCATAAAAACAACACTGCGCTGCATCGGTGTCTCAGTGTTGTGCACAGAGGAGGGTGTAGTAACACAAGTGGGCCAAGGTTTTTTTGGGGGGGGAAGTACCACACAAAACAATCACTGTTGGCTCATAAGCTGTTGAACCAGTAAAACATTTTTATAGTTTGCTTGTGAATTTCGATACACGCATGTAATGCAGAAAAGATTTAGTTGTTTCTGAGGGAAAACATCATCCATATGTTGTATTAGCGATAGCTGGGAAAACTTATTTTTGGTTTGCAATCACGCTTCATGTCAAATCAGGAAAGATCTTCTTGCTGCATTAATAGTGTGGTATATGTTTAGTAAACAAATTGCATTAAATGAATATGAACCTCATGTCTACCATCACATAATGCAGAGTCCCACTTACATCAGTTTAAGTTCTCTATTGTCTGAATGAGGGTGCACCGGCTCTTTAGACAATAGCTCCTCTCTGAAACCAGGGAAACCTCCGCCACAGTGTGGGTCAAAAGAGTCCTATTGTCCCATCTTCTATTGTGCTGCAGGAGTAGCGTGCAAACAGAACACTATCGGCCTTTGTCTTTGTCCGGATCAGCTGTGCAGCCCTTTTTTTTTTTTTGTCATGCTCTGGAGTCCCATGTGGCCGCCATGCCCTACATGTCACCATAATAAAGTTAAGGACACCGCTGTTACAGTTGATAATGGATGGGCAAATACGCTGGACGTTAGGAAATTGGAGAGTTCAGCGTATGTGTTGGGCCTCGGGGCTTTTCCTCGTCCCTCACAATGGTGATTTCATTTGCTCACTTTAAAGGTCGGAAAGGCTGAATGACGGAGTGGGAATGAAGTGTTTATCAGCTCGTGGATAGCTGATTATTTACACGCATTGTGCGAGTGAAAAGTGTGGCCGCTGATCATGTTCCATTAGTGAAAGAAGAAGTACAAATCTTCTGTTACAAGTAAAAGTCACGCATTCAAATTGTACTCAAGGGAAAGTACAGAGTATTAACTGCAAAATATTTTATATTATATATAGTGCAGTATATACAAAGTAATAAGAGACATATTGCAGTAAAGTACCAATAGGCTATCTGAAAATTGCACAGTACTTGAGTACATGTACTTAGCTACTTTCCACAGTATTACTACACCAACCTTACTGTTGCCGCAGTTTTCCAGGAGAAATGTATTTGCTACTATAAAAAAGTATTTCCTCTTATGGGAAGAACTACCAAATTCTAAAAAAGTACTAGATTTAGAGGATAATGTCACAGCAGTAGCTTCAATGAATACATACATTTATATAACAATAAAAACACTAAAGTGATATGAACTATACACAAACTTTAAACAGGGGTGTAAGAAGTATTCAGATATTCTGGTAAAAGATAAGCAATTTAAAAATACCCTACTACATTTCAAGTATGCCAGTATAAAAGTATAGCGGGGTAATAGAAGTACTCAAAACGCATCCTTCAGATGTTGTATTGTCATATTACAGTATTGGATTAGTATTATGCAAGCAGCATTTTAATGTTGCAGCTGGTGCAACAGGACCTACATATAGTGTTGGGCATTTTCATTTTGAATGTGGATCAATAAAAATGAATACTTATGGTGGAAAGTACAATAATGCAGTATTTTGTATCCAGCCACTCAATCAGATTATATTGTGTTTTTAGCTTCTTTCTTTTGTGATTTACTTATTTACTATACCATTAATGTTTGACCATTTATTGTACTATCTTGTCTTATCTCATTTTATCTTAATATTTCTTCCTGAGATGCAGTAGAGTTGCATTAAATGGAAGCACTTAAAAGCTGTACTTTGTACAGTACTTAGAGTAAACGTACGTGCTATAGTTACTCTCCACCACCGCTGTAATATGAGTACAAAACAAACGACAAAGTTGCAATGATCCAGTGACCAGCAGGCACCAGCTTCTCCTCTTTATTGAAATTCTTATGTAACAACGCCTCCAATTGGCCCGCTTCAAAATTCCAAATTTAATCCGCCCACCTGATTGGACGACGCCCGGCGAGGGTGGGCAGCTGGAGGGGCGGGGCTTGCGCAGAGTCTGGAGATTCGTCAATCTATGTGCAGATTGTCGCGCCGCCAATCGGGGACCACGCAGGAGTACATGTTACTTTGTAACTATTTTGACTATTTTAGCAGCGAAGCGACGCTCTGAAATGATGGGGAATGAATGAAGAGCAGCGGGTTATTTTGTACCGGAGCTTCCCGACGGAGGAATGCACACTAAAGGGCGTTTTCCGTGTTTTTTCTCCCCTAACACCTCAGCTGGAAAAGGAGACCGAATATCCCGCTTCTGTAATCTCATTTTTTAACCCGTCTCTGGACCGAGCGAGGCTGTTTTTTTTTTTTTTTTTGTTTTTTTTAAACGGAACACCCAAAAACTCTTCCCAGAAAGCATGGATGTGTTTTGTCTTCGGAGTAGTTTTCTGAATTTGTAAACAGGTATGTTTTGTTCGCAATTAAACGTGATCGCCACAGCAGCAACCTGTCGTCCGCCCGGTTAGCTGGTGTTTGTCAGCTGCAACAAGGGGAGTTTCTGCCTCCGAGCGATGGGAAACATAAAGAAAATAGATCGGTTTTTAAATAGTTTTTGGTGCATGTGTATCACGAGAGAGAGAGTGTTTAGCATCACAATCCTGGCTGTTTTATATTTAGCGTATGGCTTAATTCATGATGGGTGGATGTGGCGCTTTTACACCGCAATCCTTTTAATGTGCACCTCCCCGAACAGAGAGCCATGAATTCCGCTTTTATTTGACATGCACGTCTCGTTTTTTTCCCTCCTCCATGTGTGCGAATATGATTACAGAGCTCGTCAGACATTTTTTTTTTTTTTAATCTAGGTTTGCAGCTCGACTATCCACCTGCCGTTTCCCTCTTTAAGCCATATACACCCTCCATGTATAGAAACAGAAGTATTAGCTGAATGTTCACCATTAATTCAATTCTAGAGAAGCCCTAAAGTCATGCTATGCAATCTGAAAAACCTCCATAATATTCCTCTTTGGTCTCTATATTGATCTAATGTGCTGTGTCTTTAAAATATCCTGTAATATCAGTATTTAAGGTATTATAAGGGACATTTATATGCTGTAATATCTTAATAGTATTCTTCATTTGGAGTTAAGATGTTGGGCTGTCCTTGGTTGACCAGGCTCATCATACATTTATGGACTTGGAGCTTTCGTGTGACGTTTAGTGGCCGTAGTATTATAAAGAAAATGCCTTCCAGGTTATCTTCTTCTCTTGTACTTCATGTAGCTGTTATTCAGCTACACCTCGATGAATGGGCTCATTAATCTGGGTTAGAATCTGGGAAATAGCTGTTGTGTTTGGCACTGTGTCCTGCGTGGGACAGTGTGCCAAAGAGTCTCTCTCTGGGCTGCATTTTCACCAACTTGTGTTCTTTGTGTTTTAGATTTCTGCCACTGATGGACACGAAGAAGGAGGACGGCGTGGATTAGGATCTTTTTTTCCCTCTTCCCCTTTTCTTTTCTTTTTGTTTCGTTTTTTTGGCTTCACCCTCCTCACCTCAATGTGGTCTCTAAAGGACTTCTTCCTCCTCTGCGGTTCGAAATGAAATGATGGCAGCACGTTGGAGTGATTCACCGCAGGACAATGAAGCGAGTAAACACACAGCCGTGACTCCGTCTTGCGAGGTAAGACTTTCGGATAGAGATGAGGCTGTTACTCTTCACTGTCTGTTTCTAAGTGCATGCCTGCACAGCTCTGGTATGGTGGCTTTTCATCTGTAGCCACCATGGTGCATTCACAGTCTCTGTGAATACATATCCAGAAAGTAGACTGTGTGTGACCTCTGGCAGTGTGGCGGACGGGAACTATAATCCTGAAATAGTTCGCATTTTTGCACGGCACGTAACACCAGATTTCTCTTGCAACAGCTATTTTCTGACACAATAGAGACTTTACACGACTTGACTAGATATGACTGTCACCAGGCTACACGTGAGGCGTCCACGATAACCATCAGACCACATGGCGACTGTGACTCCATCAGCTCGGCTTCAAAGGTGTCCTCACTCTGGTAAAACTCGTGACGCGCCGCCAGAAGTTCTCAAAGTGTGTCTGCAGCAGAAACAGAGCAGAGTGTGAGCTAAGTGTTTGCAGCACATCGCATCTGCCAGCGCTCGGGGGTGACCGAGTTCCTTTCCTTTCTCGCTCTTGACAACTGTTTAAAGTGCACAAAGAAGAGTTTCATACTTTGCAGCGCTAATCTTTTGCAGGGTCTTCTGTGGGTCCGCATGCCAAAGTGCTGACAAATGGCACATTGTGGAGCTCATCCTTTCCCCGCTGATGAGCGGTGGCTTCAGTGGTTACATCATCATAATCATCATCATAGCCCAGCCAGGCTTGATGCATGCAGTCACAGCATTGCAGCGGCGGCATGTTCTTGGATTAATCCATCATCAGAAAATAACAACAGTGCTCTCTGTGTGTGTGTGTGTGTGTGTGTGTGTGTGGCAGTAATCCTCTTACTGTGTCAGAGCTAGCCGAGGATGGACGCCATAAATCGTTGGGAATGTGGTAAAGCAGCGACCTCACGGTGCCGGAGTGTTTAGAGACGGTAGATGGAGTACAGGACGAGCACGGGGCGCTGATATTTGTTTTAAAAATGTCTTGATGAGAAGTTTGAGATGGAGCGTCGGAAATGTTAATGGCACAATCTCAGGAGTGAGAAGTTACCAAGAACAACTTTGTTGCTTCTCTGCTGGCGGCTCCTGCGGTGCGGTCGTTCCTCACATCCGTCTCTCTGAGATCTAATAATTATTTCCCGTAACATCGCTTAACTCTCCCTCGCTGAGGGAAACCGCCACAGCCTACTGAACCTCCAGCTGTTGAGAAGAAGCATCAAAAAAACTCATGAATTACTTCTCATCACAAGCTGTGACTGAAGTTTTGGACCCTTTGATTCAGCTGAACTCACAGATGGAGGAGGGCTATTGCACTTTATTTATTTATTTTAAAGATGGGCACAAGCTAAGTATGCTTCATGCATAAGGCAGAATAAGAAAAATAAAACGTGACTTTGAAGGTGCACGGTTGCCCACTGAATCTCCTGAAACTTGATTCCATCAGTTTCCTAATAACCTGAGGACCAGAAGGCTTTCTGGCACACGCCGTGCAGAAGATGTGAGTTACCTGTGAGTCAGTACCGCTGCTTATCCTGATGCTTTGCAGCCCAGGGGCTTGACAGACACATCACATCAGCTGTTTTTTATTTATTTTTGAATCTACCTGATGCCTCCTACTACACAAACACAATTCTCACCCAACTTTCAAGCTTCAGTGCTTGTGAACGGTTTCTCCCCTCCGTGGGGTCTAATGGGAGTAGAAACCTCCCCTCCAAACCCCCCCGCCGCCGCCGCATCATCTCGGCTCGCTAATGAGGGAGATAACGAGGGGCGTTTTACTCCCCCAACACGCACACGCCACCCTGTTACCGCCTAAATGATGGTAGCAAAGCCGGGGTAATTTAGGCACAGCTGCCCCGATCATTAGGGTAGAAACAGCCCACGTGTGCAGCGTCTGCTTCTCTCTTGGCCTCATTCACATTCCCAACCTCAGTGGACCTGCTGTCACTCTGACACCAACAGCAGTGTTCCAGAGCAGCTGAGACTCAGCTCTGTACACCGCAGAGAGAGAAGACAACAAAGTGATGGACGGAGTAACTCCTCTTTTCTTTCTTCATTGTCGATTGTTTTCTCCATGATCTCCATGAAGTGTTGGACATAGAGAAAGTTTTGTGGTTGGCTTTATGGCTGCTTATGATTGTTTAGATTTCATAAGACACCTGCTCCTTTGTCGAGGTCTCTCCACTGCTGTTGTGTTTACTATTAAATACAGGATGTTAGCTGTTGGGAAATAATGCAAGGTAAACAAATAGTCCATTAGTCAATAGAGAGGAAATCAATCCACAGCTTATTTTGATCATGGGTTCATCGTTTAAGTCATTTCTTCAGTAAAAATGAAAAAGCAATGTGAGGATTTGCTGTTTTATTTCATCGTGAAGTGAATATCTTTGGATTTGTGGACTGCTGGTCGGACAGAACAAGACATTTGACAGACCAGACCAAATGTCAATTAGCAGAACTTGTAATAGTGTCGCCTTGAAAAGAAGAAGCAGATAAAGCAAACGTGAGCGCTAAAGAGAAACGAACACAGCGGGGAAACGTGCCCCGGCATACTGATGGCTTCCCTCACTCACGTCGGACGGATGAGACCAATGTCGGTGCTGTGAGTGGTGCTGATGCTTCGCTCTAAATATCTATAAATAAAGCCCCTCCCAACGCCATGAACCCCCGCTCTTTATTCCTCCCCTCTCTCCCCCGTCCACATGCTAGTCTTTCACTCGTCCTCTATTCCCGCGTGTTTTTAGTGATGCTATATTTAACCCGTGGAAAGATTAATGCCGGAGAGGGAAAAATGGAATCACTGTACTGGGATACCTCCGCTCTCTCCTGAAGGCTGCTTAAAGCAGCGAGTGTAGCGGGCGTTGGGTGGGACGGAGTCATTTTAGAGGTCGGGGGAACGCGACAGTGGTCAGTCTGTGTGGGTTTTTTTCTTTCTTTCTGTGGAAACTAGAGAGACGTACATACACAGCTGGCAACAACTTCCAGTGCCACATCCCAGCCCCAATTAAGCTCACGGTGATCTCACTTTCTAAAAGTCTGATGCTTTATTTTAGTCATTGCAAAGGGGGGGGGGGGGAATAAGAAGAGAGATTACAGTGTCTCCAGCAAGGAAATGACCTCCACGTTTATCAGCGTTCAGAGCCGTTGCTGTTCATCAATCAGAGCGGCGACGCAGTGATTTACATTTGCATACATTTGAAAAGCAAATGTGTCTCGTGCAGCACATCAGGGTTCTTTCTCATTCGGCAAACAAGACACTGACCTGGACGTGACCCGGCTTCTGTCTTAGCACACACACACACACACACACACACACACACACACACAGAGTGCTTTGTGAATTACCAGGAGCTCACTATCTGAAGGGTTTCCTCTAGATCTGCCTCATAGTCACCGCCGTCAAACTGAAACCTGGAGCGTGTGTTTTGGCATCTCTTATCGGAAAGTTGTCGCTATTTTTTTTCCTGGAAAAAGGGGGAAAATCTGTGCACGTGCTGCGTCGCACTCAAGCGCAACTCTAAAATATGTGTCCCGGGCGGGGCCCCCCTTTTATCTCGTTCCTCTTGTGGAGAGGTGACGTTGGTGCTCGGCATGGCTCCTCTGCATGTCATCCCTCAGTCTAGATGCTCTTATCCTGCCGGGCATGGATGGATGGATGATTGATGGATGGATGGAAAAAAATGCCACCCTCTTTCTTTTTCTTTTTCTTCTCATCTTATTATTATTTTTTGTTCTCTCTTTCCCCCGATTGGCTCAAAATCCCAGCCTCTTCTGCCTGGATGCCCTCCGTCCCTCTGATACAGGGAGGGCCGAAAGAAGATAGTGAGATGCGGGGGGGGGGGCAAACGAAGACAGGCAGAACAGAACCAGTCTAATGCTCAGCGAGGCTGAGACGCTATCCATTACACATGCTCAAGGCATCTCCGTCAAAACACCCGCCCTCTATCAGGCTCCATCTCTGGCTCCCGGACACGACACACACTGGTGAGGAGTGTGTGAGGAGCGTGTAGTTGATCTGTGTGTAGAGCTCATTTCTTTAAGGCGGTGTCATATTTTACATCCTACAGTCTTATATAGACTGCTGCAGCCATGTAGTATTTTCACACAGGATGTCCATTCAGCCCAAGTAGATTTGAGTTTCTTTCAGTTTTTCTTTCATGACTCCTGGAAGCACTTTTACTTTCATATTTTATATGTAAAACCGTGTGTGTGTGTGTGTGTGTGTGTGTGTGTGTGAGCTTGTATATGTTTTTAATCGGCCCTTATGTAATGGGGTGTTACCAGGACGTATCTTAACTCGCTATGTTACTACGGACTTTGAGGTCTTGGCAGGGAACCACATTACTTCCTGTCAGCGTCAGCGGTGGAAGTGAGCAAGGGCGCCCTGATGAAGGACCGGTTTCATGAATGGATGGGAGAGGAGCCGCAGAGCTGCTCTGTTTTCTCCAGCTCTGACGACTGAACTTGCAGCAAGTCGTCTATATGACAGTAAATATAATTCCCCCAAATTGACCACAACTGCTTAATTGTAGACCAGCAGTTATTGCTAGAGAACCCACCGGGTTCATGTCATCTAAGAAAAGGCCAACACGCTGAAAAAAAACTTTGAAAACATAAAACGACACAGATTTGGGGTTTTAAATAGATAGATGAGGATTATTGTTAGTGCTAACTGGACAAAGTATTTCGATAGGTAAGAAGAGTGCCACTTAAAACCAAGTTTTATTCCTAAAACCAACAATTTTACACAACATTCAAGCAAAAACACATTTGTTAAATGTGAGGATTTCCTTCTATATCATTGAAAATGTAATATTTTTGATGTTGGTTGGACAAAACAAGCACTTTGAAGACGTAACATTGTACTCTGGAAACTTGTGATCGGCATGTTAACTATTCTCTGACTTTTTAAAGACTAATTAAAAAGAAATGAATCGGCAGATAAATCATAACGATACTAACCTTCAGTTAGAATCCCAGGTTGAATCCTATAAACAGTCTTGATGAATCGGACTGGACTGCAGTGGCTCCAGCTGTTGACTCACATGTGTAATAACTGTTCCTCTTCTTCACTGAATGTAATAACTCATCTGTCGATAATCCCCCACATGACTGTGGTGGAGTTTCATTTCTCCACCTTGCGTCCTTGTCTCTTTGTGTGTCAGTGAAATGACCTCAGCATCCTTAACACACCGCCTGTTGTTGTGAATGCTGTCGGAGGTTGTGTGAGATCCATAACTCGCCATTGATTGGATTATATTGGCTTTAGCGTGGGGTGGGGGGGGGGGTTGGGCACACGCTTTTACTCTTTACTGACCTGTTTGTGATGGCGGGTGGTCTTCATGAGACCTGTCGTTTTTATTCTCACATGAAATCATTTAGATTAAAGTGAAATATTAAAGAAAAGCAATCGACGCATGCCCTCTTTTACACTCTGCACCGTTCTAGATTTAATAATAACATTTCTGTTAAGCTTTTTTCATCTCGCTTTCAGGGCGGTTCGTTGAGGCAGATTTGTGAGATTCCCCCGGCCTAGATATTTAGTGAACAGCGCCTCACGCTTTGCAGATCTTGGTTTTGCTCGCATTAGTCTAAATCCCTCTGACTTCTTAAGCGTTTGTGAATGTTTTTGTTTTAAGTGTACGATGGCAAAACAGGGGACTTGGATGGCTTTCGCTTTGCCAAGAGAAACCTGGCGATCTGGAGACAGCGGGGCGGTTCTGGTCTCTGAGAATTTGTCTTGGTCACGTCTTAACATATTTTCTCATCTATGTGATGGATGTAAAAACAAGGGTTTTTTGGGGGGATTTGTCCTGCTGTGCGATAACAGCCCCAACGTGCTTATTGTTTCACTTTTGGCCTGAGAATAAACACCTTTCAGTGAATCATTCCCACTGGGGGTCCGACCTCCAACGTTAAGGGGAGCAGAGTGGTTGTGTGTTGATAATGGGGGGGTGGGTAAAGAGACCAACTGGTCTGCTGATGGCGTGTTGGGAGGCCAAGGGTTGCCATGTCTGGACTTGTGGCCGTCTGAGACACGGCTGACCTTTCTGACCAGACTGTGTGCGTAGCCTCCTGACCTGCCGGAGACTCTTGTGTCTGAATTATCACTGAAGTCGTCTTTGCTTGTCTTTTTTGTGATGTGTCCATCTCTGTTGGACAGTTTTTACATCGGATTTGGTGCACAAAAGGACTGAATGAATGAAGTGTCCAATCACCAGCGTTATCTCTGTGGTGTGTTGGTTTTAGATCTTATCCTCAGGGGATGTGGAGCTTTTCCTGATCACTTGTAATTGAGAGAAGAGGCTGGAGTGACACTTGGTTCTAAAGGGTTATTATGAATATCTTAAACCCCACCTCAGGCTACGTCTTTGATTCTAAGTGGTCGCTGCGTTTCTCTTGTGAAGTGAGCTTAGAGCGTCTCACTGATGTTGCAATCACAACCATCTGGACGTCACGCAGCATCAAAGGCCGCTGAGGAACATAAACAATCCCAGACAACTATTTTCCTGGCATCCAACAGTTTCCTAATTCTCTCTTCGTGCATTTCCGGCATATTTTCCTCCCTCAAAAGCGTGATTTCTTCGACATCCCGGCGTGACAAAGTCTTTAACTCAATGTTAATTTACTTAAGAGAGAGTTTCTGCTCCCGCGGCGGTAGGGGCTCCTCTGGCCTTTTGTCGGGGGGAGTCTTCTCTCTGCAAAGTAGGTTGAGGATTTTTTTTTTTTTTGGCAGAGTAATGAAATAAATAGCTCAGACGGGATGCGCTCCTGCATTGCCTGCAAAGTGCAGCATCAGGCAGGTTCGGACTAAGAGGCGGAGAGCTTCCTCTGTGTGTTTTTTACAGGATCACAACTTGACGTGTTACGAGCCTTAGGTGTGCTTCCACTTTAACGAGAGACGGTGGTGGAAGAGGAGTCCTCTGGAGAGGGAAACAGTTGTGTCCTGCACTGCGGGCCTGATGGCCGATGCTCAATGATTTAGAGTGAGGCTTCTGCTGCTCCGATAGTCGGACTGCCTCAGCCTGGTACGACTGCGGAGACGAGCACGGGGAGGCACAGCCAGCCGGGACGAGACACCGTCACAGGAATCAAAAAGAGAGGGGGGGTTATCAAAAATGCAGAGGCAGATGACGAGGGAAAAGTGCACTCTGCTCCGTCGTGCTTTAGGCTTCTTCTCTTCCACCGGCCGGTCTGCATTCTCCTGCGTGGCGATAGACAGGCGGACTCCTCTGCTCCGTATTGCTGAGAACACTTTCCTGCTGCATCCCTCTCTCAGGAAGGCTGTCTTTCTTTCTTTCTTTCTTTTTTTTTAAAAATACATATAAAATAATCCCCTGAGTTCCTGCGCAGCGGGATGCATCATTAGCATACCGCTAATGATGCGCGGCGGATAGGATGCCTGCTGAGTTCGTAGACGGGCTAGAGGATGCACCCTTTTTCCGGCTGCTGAGGATCATCCCTCCCGCCTCCTCGCTCCCTCCTCCCCATCAAGGCGGCATCGAGGACCGCCGCTGCCAGCAGGGCACTGCTGGGTTCGGTACACGCCGCTGAGGGGAAGATTTTTATTACATCTGTGAAACGTAAAATGGCTCATCTTAAAGTTCTCGACTGTATGATCAACAACAACTGGAGTCTGATCTGTGATCTGTACTGCGCCTGGAGCAATCAGGTCAGTTTCTCTTCATGTTGAGAGCATTTGACTTATTATTATTTATTTTAAAGCATTTTTCTTGATAGTGACAGTAGAGCTCGACAGGAAACCTTTTGAGAGGGTTGACACGCAACTGCAACAGTCGCTCGTGCTGCAGCAGGTTTTTTTCTTGGTCACCCGTCCTCACCCTTTTTTTTACGCCTTCCTCTCGGCCCCACATTACTCTCTGGAGTTCTCTAGGAAAGGCATCCCTGACATCTCGCGTATTAATAGACCAGAATTCATTCAGTAGTGCAACGAGGAACTGGAGCCTCTGGAGCGCCTGGCATGCTGACCTCCGGGTGTCCCCAGACAAGAGTGCCTCGTGTAGCGTCTGGTGGCTCCAGACTAAACTTGATTTTTAGGAAAATCGATCTCATGAAGTAGTTTAACAAGTGACTTAAAGCTCAACTTCTCTCGGCTCGGCAGGATTTGTTTTGTCGGAAACGGCTTCATTTAGAGATGCGACACTCTTTTGGAATCAAAATATCTTGCAACAAGTGTAACTACGTTGAAATGATTCCTCCAATTGGACGATTGGGAAGCGCAGTCTTAACTTAAAGGCCAGTAGAAGATGTTCACTGTTCAGAGAATGACGTGTTTTCCTGTGACTCTGATCGTATGAATGTGGACGTTCTCTCCGTCATACAGCGCTCTTTGTCTTTGTCATCCTGTATGTATCCATTTGTCCCTATGCGCTCAGAAGTCAACTTGGCACCCTTACTAACACTTCATATCTCACATACATGGCCTTTCTGCTTTTTCACTGGGGACTCTTACAGACTGCTCATTGTTTCCTGCGTTTCTTTCCCCGCTCCCCGTTTTCATCTGGCCACGGAATGCCCGATGTGAGGAGTAAAGAAGTCTTGCCGTGTGAAGCGTCTCTCTCGGCCCCTTCCCCTAATTTAATTTTAGCAGCTCTGAAGATTGTTCGCGTCCCGGGCCGAACTGATAGGCCTCTGTTTTCCAGAGAGCCTCTGCTGTCCGAGCCGCTGAAAACGGCCTTTGTGCGCCAGCAGCGATGGCACAGAGGAAGCCTCATGAAATATTTACAGGCCGACACCTGGTGTGAGACGGAGACGGAGGAGCCGGGGAAGCAACAACACCGTCACCAACAAACAGCAAGGCCTCAGTGTGCTGGACGGCAGAAATATTGTGTTTGTTAGCGTCTGATCTTTAGCTTTCTCATGAACATCATCATCTATGTACAGGAGGTCTCAGTGGAACAAAGTATGACAAACCATCAGAAAACTATTCAGAGCTACTCAGTTAGTAGTCCATCATTATTTCGATCGATTAATCATTTTGGTTGTTTTGAAAAAGGAAACCAAGCCGAGCTTTCTCTGGCTCAAAAAGGCCTTTTCACACCGAGGGCGTTTTTTGTTTGTGTGATTAATTCACACTTCAACACGTTAATATATTTCAAGCTGTTGTTTTTGTCACTAGAAACTTCTGAGCTTTCTCGCTGTGAATAATGACGTCAACCAATCAAGTTGTTCAGAACGGGTTGAGTTGCTCCTATTCATGAAACGACAACATGGAGGCTCTGTAGTCTGAACCAGCGTGGCAACTTTATTATTCCTTTCAACCTTCACAAAGGCAGCACAGACTAGACTCACTCCTTCTGTTTTTACCTTTCACAATAAAAGCCCAAGACATAAGACATTCACATTTCCTTTATTCATCTCACCTTAACTAATCTTTAGGTTCCAAGCTTCTGATTTTCAGAGCTCTTTGACACCTAATATTAATCGATAGTGTAAATAATTGTTGGTTGCAGCGGTAAAACTAATATTATTACAACAAAGGTTGTATCATTCAAGAGGCGTAAACCATATCTGCAGGAGGACGTCCGTCATCAGTCCACCCATGGTTGTGTCCGGGTGTCCCCACCATGTCTGGAGGAATAGTTGTAACATGGCACTGGGGGGTTAAACAGGAGAGTCTACGTGTCGGAGGGTGCACTGTCGTGACCCCGCCCTGTCAAAAACCTCAAAGAGCAACCGGGATTAATAATACATCGATGAGGAAACCAATTATACAGGGCTGTGCTCGCATCTGGGTGGGGTGGGGGGGTGGGACCCCGGGGACCCTAATTGGCCCACCTGCTCTCTGTCTCTGAAGGGCCGGGCTGAGGTGGCTGGTTGGATGTGAGGGTGGTGTGTGTGTGTGTGTGTGTGTGTGTGTGTGTGTGTGTGTGTGCGCTTTTG